TCGCCGCCATCTTGGCCGCTGCCCCGGGAGCGGGACGGGCCGAGCCGGGCCGGGGCGAGCGGGCCGCAGAGGGCCGGGGGAGGTACGTGAGGGCCGGGGAGGTGAGGGGGGTGCCCGGGCCGCTGAGGGAGGTCTCACCGGGGGGGAGGCGTTGGTCTCTGTGACGGGGGGAAGCGGCGGGACGGGCCTGGGAGGCAGCCGCCGGACCCCAGCCCGCTGTGTCCGGCCCCGTCAGCAGCTGTGGGTGTCCGGTGAGGGAGCGGGGCGACATCCCGGTCGGCGGGGTGGCTGTCCCGTCCATCTGGGACTTCCCGCTTTACCTCCGTCCGTTTCCGTTGTTCGGTGCCCATTTAAACGCAAAACTGTTTCCGTGTGAGAATAACAATGCTATTAATAAAAGCCTGTTCTTCTGGGCTCTGCTGCGTCTGCGGAACGGCGCGGCCTGTGCTGGAGCCAAGGCCCGGCTACGGGGTCCCGGCCTGCCCGGGCCCTCCGCCCCTCAGTGCCCTGGCCCCACGGGTCACCCTAAAACGCTAAGTAATGATGAGGAGGAGGGATTATGTGCAGGGAGGTAATTAATTTAGCTGTTAGGAGAGATGGGCCTACGGGAGGGGTGATGCAGGAGCTCTATGCCAAACCTGCAGCAAAGCCAAGGCCTGGGGGTCGCAGGAGGGGTAGCACCCAGGCCACCAGAGTATTTGCTTCAGCAGCATTGCTGCAAACGTGGTGGTTCTGGTCATGCTTAATTAGCCAGGGACCCTGTGAGTGTAGATTTGCATAATACGCACTGGAAATTAATCCATTATCATCCGTCCCTGTGCGTTGCACAGCACTTCTGCCCAGTTCACTGCCTGACAGGGTAATGGAGTAGAGGTTGTCCCTTCTTTTCTTCTGTTTCACTGCTAATCTGCTTTGAAGTAGTAGTACACTCACTGTCGTTTCAGTACGATGAGTGATTTTTACATATTAGATGGTGATCAGACTGGAGGAATAGCTTCACCATTGAATGTACTTATGGTATAAACAACCAGGCAAAAAATCATACTTGGATAATGAAAATTCACGTTCACAGAAGGCAGGCTGCAGTAGGGGAGAGGAAGAGCTATTTCCAAGTAAATTAAATTACTTGTGCAAGAGATAAGGTGATGGAAGTGTTTTACAAAAGATCTGACTATGCCAGGCATGAGGATGATTCAGCTGGCAGTTCCCAGCTATAGTACATAACTTCTCGTTTATTTAAAAAAAATCTGAATGGAATTTCATTGTAACTGTCTAGGATTTAATCTGTGGTACATTGGGTGCTAACTCAAAAACACAAGAAAACCTGGTTTTGAAAAAAAAATAAAAATGGGACAAGCAGATCCTTTCCTGTCTGCGTGCACATACCTGGAAATTTCTTGCAGATGGCAAATTAAGCATTAAAACTATTCCACGCCCTCTAGTGCTTAATTTTGCTGCCCTTGCCCAGAAATGAAATCTCCTATTGAGCAAAATAACTATGCACCAGCTAAGTCCCAGTTACTCTTTCAAACAAAGCTCTCCTTACAAGCAGTTCTGCATTAAGAATCTTAAATAGAAACCTTGTCATGAGGATTCATGAAAGAGAAATTGAAGTCCTTGAGGTAGAGAGGTGTGAACAGCAAGTGAGAAGTGGCAGCTGTACTTTATGGCTGTAATAATGGGAAGAAATCAAATTAAACCTTTTTAGAATGTTGAGTTCCTTCCTCTTAGTTCCCTTTTATTTTCGCCCAACTTATTTTCTGTGTAGCTTTCAAAACTTAGTTAATACACAGAAAACAAGTGATACCTTTTTAATGCTTATTCAACATAATGAATAAGAGCCTTTTTAACGGGAACTTTTTGAGAGATTCTTTAAGACTGCTTATTCTGGAGCCTGATTTTATTTTACAGGATGGAAAAATTAAAGAGTGCTGCTCTGCTCTCTTCTCATGGAAGAGAAGGGAGGTAAAACTGGTTATAAGCCCTCTTTCTGCCCGTCAGCGTTTTGGACTAGTCGTGGCAGAGAGCACTCGCATTAGTAAGAGCTGTCATTTACAGCAGGGTTCCAGTGATACTTGGCTCTGATCTAGTATTTCAGCAGTGCATGGCTCTTTGTCACTGAGCTTGTCCTGGAGTGCCTCTTAAAATAGAGCCTGTAAAAAAGAGCAGGTTACACTGTTGCTCCGGCCCATCAGACTTACTGGAGCAGTGAACTGGGAGAGAGCACGATGGACATCACCTTCCCAAAGAACTACTGAGACGAGGCTTTTATATCCTGTGATTGAATCCTGCTGCCTTGGCCTTTCAGAGTCCTTAGTAGTTTGGCTGGAATATGAGCCTAATTATCAGTCTGCTCCTGAAAATCCAGTTGACAGTAAATGCGTAACGAGATACTCGCCTTACCTGTGTCCGTTTCATCCTCTCTATCTATTCAGTACTCTTTCAGAGAAGGAATTTCTTAAGTGGTCCCTTAGTAGTCCTAAAGCGGCTGATTCAGGTGTAAATTGTATTAGAAATGTTCCATCTTCATGTAAAAATGTAGTTTTAGCAATGAATTTTTAATTGTTTCGGTGGATTTTTTTTCTAAGAAGAGCTTGCTTTTTCAGCTTTTACAGTGAAGCTCTCTGTGCTTGCAGGTCCCAAAGGGAACTGCAGTTACTCAGGATCTAATATTGCTTGATTATTCAGGATCTAATATTGTTCTGCTGGCAAGAGATGGAACTATCCTGCCAGCAATTAGAAGATTTATACTGGAACTAAATTGAACATAGGCGCCATGCAAATGTGTTATTGGAAAGCTGATCAGTCAGTAGATGAAATGCTGCACAAATTCTTATGCAGGCTGTGATTGTTATTGGTAAAAGCATGGAGGAAGTTGGAAATTTTGTTATGGATACCAAACACGATACCAAACACTGATTTAAGACAGCTTCAGAGTACTCTCAGAAGACTACTTCCTTTTAAAAACAATTCCAGAAAGTTACTAACAGTGCTTTAAATGAGACTAAAGATAAATAAATGTATACTGAGCATCTGGGAAACAAAGCGTTTAGTCTTTAGTAGGGATGATCTTGGTGATAAAAAATGCATGTGAGTAGGTGTACACACACGAGCTCTTCATGGGGTTAAGTTAGAGTTGATTTGATTCTGGGAGTTTTTCTTGACTAACAGAGGGGAACACCAGGCAGTTCTTAAGAAGGGTTGCAAAAGTGTTTTTACTTTGGTGTGCAGATACCTAAGCCGTGGACATCTTAGAAATGAAAAGATTCATGACACTCGAGCAGCAGCGGTAAGATATGCTAACAATGATAGGAGGCTTAAAAAACGATGAAAATCCAGAACATTCACATTTTACTAAGACCTGAGGCTCCCAGGTATATCACTTTGAATCACAGCTTCTGATGTGGTGCCAGAGGTGGGGCAGCCAGCTATACATATGCTCAGAGCTGCCGTGTTGGCTATCTTGAAAATGTCATTCAAGTATTTAATAAGATTTTCCTTCATTCCATTTGCTGTTTTTAGAGCCAGTGAATGGGGTTGGGAAGGTGAGGAGCAAAGGTTGTCTTCATGTGTTTGTGACGTATCTTCAATTTATAGGAAAAAAGCTAAACTGCCCACCAGCTGGTTGCGACAAAAATACTCGCTTTAAAATAGAAGTGCCTATCTTAGCTTATTTGTTTCTCCAGATTACTTTAAGCATTTGATTACTTTCCATTCGCTTGTCACTAGAAGTTCATTTCCACAAATACATAACAGAGGCTCAAGGCAGTCTCCCCCACTAATCCTTCCACCCTTCAGAGCAGCTACGCCAGATGCAGGGAACATGGGAGCCGTGGAATACTTTCCCAGTGATGGTCCCGTTTGGAGCTGTTTTCAGTGATTATTACTAGCTCTAAAGGGCATTGCGGGGGTCAGTGATAAATTCCTCGCTTCCTGATTTTCAGAGCTTTGACTGAACTCAGCTCAGTGTTATGGAAAAGCAGCTGGTAACAGTATTTCTGCATTAATTACATTTTAGAGTACTTAATTGTAGCCAAGGACAAGCACGTGCAATCAGTCTTTTTCCCATGCTCGCAGCCTCTCCCTCCTGCCAACGAGCTCCACTTTTGTCTTGTGAGCCTGCTGTGACTTCAGTCCAGATGTTTCTCTGCCAAGAGATTGAAAAAACAGTAAGATTGCAAAATCCATATATAGTCAAAAGAAAAGATACAGACTTGAAAACAAGCATATAGAAGGCACCTTCGTTAAACTATTTAGTTCTTCTGTAAGGACTTCAAATTCTGGTTGGATGGAAATGACTGCAAGGAATCATGTGGAGTTTCATGTGTCGGAGCAAGGATGGGGAGTCTGAGAAGAAGCTCAAAACCCCTGCTGGGCAGCGCCTGTGAGATGCCTTTCAGTGGGGCAGTAGGATGGAGGGCTGTCAGGCTGCTTCAGGGGGGGCAGTAGGATGGAGGGCTGTCAGGCTGCTTAAAATGAGTGTGAATGGCTTACTCTGGACTAAAGGTGCAACTAATAGTCCGTGGACACCTTCAGCCTGCTTCTCAGGTCGGCCTAAAAGCAGAGAGCTGGGAGGCATGTCCTTTTGAAATAGCCCTAGGAACAGACCTTCAGTATTTTACATAGACTGGTTTTACGTTGCCATCTGGAAGTGGTGACTGCATAGGCTGCTGCACAGGTACTCTCCTGATTCTTAAATTTTTGGTGCTGTGCTTTTTGCTACTGTTTTTTTTTTTAAACTTATGAACTTCAATTCAAGACCTTTTACCCTCAAAGTGTCACAGCTCTGAGCATGCTTTGCTGTTTGGCCACAAGTATTAACTTGACCTATTGGTGTGAGAAATCTTACTGTTACTAGATTGATTTCTTATGTTTTGCATTTTTTTATTCTTTTTTCACTTTGTAAATCTAGTGTTCTGATGAGACAGAAGAAGGTAGGGTGCTGAGAAATGAATTCAGGGATGTCTATGTGTCTGAAATGAAATCTGGCACTTAAGAAATAGAGTAGCTGGGAAATCTTCAGTATTGGGAGCACTGTAAGTCATTTTGGTTAAATAACAGCTTACATAAGATCTTTTTGTGGTAGTACCACTCGTAAGGTATCCAGCATGAAATCCATCTCTTAATTGGCCGGTGCCAATTGTCTGACAGCGTGTGGGACAAATCAAATGACTTAGTCTTGCATATAATAGACTGATGTCCCCGCTGCTGTGAGAGCTTCTTTGCTCTGGTGGGCACTGGCAGAGGGAAGTGCCCATTGACTGATAGGGCAGAGTTGCTGTCTTTGGGTAGTATATGGTGACAAATGCAATCTGCTCGGTGGAATCTGTATGAATTAACAGCAGGACAACTGCTAGGACTTTAAACCACTCTGTCACCCGTATCTGATACACTTTGTCAGGGTATGGTCCGAAGCTGCCTGCAGTCCAGCAGAGCTTCTCCACAGTGGGCTATAGATCAAATCCTCTGGAAATGGAGTCTTACTGGTGCTGCTTGCACTGAAACTCTCCTATGCAGCTTTGTGTGCATTTATTTGGGTTTATGTTTGTTAACAGATGTGCTATTGTATCCATATTAAAATGTACAGAGAACTATTCTAAGCTTTATAGCTGATCACCTTCATATGTTGGGGCTGCCTTGGTGTGGAACAATACTGACATTCAGTGGTTGATTATACTTGCCACCGCTGTGTGACTATCCAGGAGATTTTGGAGGGTTTTAATGTTCAGTGTTGGCTAAATTCAGAACATGTTTAGTTAAATTGGATTAAAGCAATTGTGTCAAGGCTCCTTTATAAGAATGCTGTGCCAACAGTATTAAAATTGTCAGGTTTTTTTGACAAACTAAATTAGAGATTAATTTGGTGTGGGAGAGATACAGTAGAAACATGCAATAACACTTTGTAGCTTTGTTTCCTTTCCCACTCTTAACGATCAGTTTCCAAAAGAATTTCCTGATATATACTGTATTGGTTTAGTCGGATTTTTTCTGTTCACGTTTTCACTATTGGTCTTTTCGTCTCTACCACCAAGGACAGTGAGCTCTTAGCAGGAGGTCTCTAAGACCTGGCAAGGTCCCAGTGAAGATGAGCGCATTGCTGTCATGAATGTGAAGGAGCAGCTGGAGTTTAGAGTGTGAAAAGCTGGATCTTGGCTCCCTTCCTACGTCTGCTGACTTAGGTGGAGGGAAATAGCATGCTAACTACCTTCTTTAGTAGTCCTTTTTCACCTTCTCTGGTGCGCTTTGGAAGGCATACTTTTGATTTGTGAAGACCTGCAGGACCAGACAATTTTTCAGTGTTACAAGTGTGTTGGGAGATCAGCCTAGTACTCTGGGCAGTTTAGATTCAGACGCAGCAGCAAGAGCTCACTCTGGATGGAGTTAAGTGCTTTTGGAATGAGGCTTAGTCACACCGTGTTTAGACTCCTTAGTATCTCTGTGGGACGAAGAGCTCACTCTGGATGGACTTAAGTGCTTATTCCAGCATTTTGGAATGAGGCTTACTCACATAGTGTTTAGACTCCTTAGTATCTCTGTGGGACTGGACCATTTACATTTAGATGCTTCTGTGCCATCTCCACATTTGTGTGCCAGAGTCAACATCAGCAAAGGAGCAAATTTTACCTCCTTTTTTTGGCATGATCCTGCCCAAACATCCTAAGATTAATGAAAACTATGATAGGTTTTTGGTGGATGTGTTTGGCTTCTCTTGGGCATACGGAGTTGATGGTGGTCTTCCTGTTTCAAGGTGTGGATGCCCAGTAACTATTTGGGCTCTTTCCAGCCATGCTTGAATTCCTCCAAAGGCTAAATAAACTTTGATTCAGGGTATCTCCATTGCTATCATCTGCCCATTTCCACCACCTCCTCTGCACCAGCTGTAGCACTCTCTGGCAATGCAATAACTTGGATCAGGAAGCTGATCTGACCAGAAACTCCTTTTTCTGGGTCGATTTATAGCTGGACCAGTTTCCTGATAGAAGTAATTGCAGAGCCACAGACGCGCTCAGATCAGTACCTGGAAGGCAAAGGGGATGAATACCCAGTGGCAGCTGCTTCAACTACAGCATGAATTTATGCAGGATATAAGTACAAGATTAACTTCACCATGAGGAGCCCGTGCTTGGGTTACAGTTTGTTTTGTTTTCTAAGCCTGAGTTTAAACTTGGACCTTATTTTTGTCAGAGGATGGTTATGCTGCAGGTCAGCCAAAGCGTTTGATCTGTCTGATGTAAAGGCTAAAGAAATAAACTGAAGTCTGGTAGCATTTGTCTCTTCCGTAGATGTGGAGAAAATAGTTTGTTCACTTCATTTGAATCAACAACTTAGTTCATCTATAATCTTATTGAAAGTTGAGAAATAGACTGAGAATTTGTTTAAAAAAAAAGGCAGATAAGCTTCTTGTGCCATGAATAAAATGAAGGATCAGTGACTGAGACAGGTTATTTGTAAATCTTTAAAGATACATGAAAAAAGTTACATTCCTTATCCGCAGTTCATACTTCCCTTTCTCATGAGTGAGTTTTTAAGTGTAAAACATTTTATGTAAACATATTTCATGTGTGTTAAGCACATTTGAGGTAATTGTGTTCATTAAACCAGATTTAAAGTCCTGAGTTTGTGTACTTTTAATGCATTCCAACCCTTTATCCAAGTGCAGCTTGGCATAGATCATAAGTAAAAGACTAGTCAGCCAGCAAATAAAAAACACTTTTCCAGTTCAATAGCTGAAAGCTGACAAGCTAAAGAGCTCTGTCTTTAAGATAGTGCAATTCTTAGTTATGTGTGTAAATGTTACACAAACTCCTCTGCTGTAGGCAACTTTAGATGTAAGTTGCCAAACATGTTTAAGTGAGTGCCAGCTCATGAGGGTCAGCTTTTCTGTACGAAATAAATTACAAATAGCAAATCGGGATGAAAGTGGAAATCAAGGGTGCTAACTTCTTGTTTACATTGTGACATATGTTACTGACTGTGAAATACTTGGGGGGGAACATTCCTCTAAATAGAGAAAATGTAATTTAAAGAAAAGCAGCAAAACAGATCTTTTTCTTAAATTCACAGTGTTAATAAAGAATAACTGTTGTAAGAAAGAGAGTCTGGGAGAAGAAATAATGTCAATCCCCATATCCTTTTGTTTATTTTAACTTCTTTGAATGTGTTTCCAACAGAAAATGATCCACAGCCTGTTTCTTATAAACTGTTCTGGTGATATATTCTTGGAGAAGCACTGGAAGAGCGTTGTGAGCCAATCTGTGTGTGATTATTTCTTTGAAGCTCAGGAGAAAGCAATCGATGTTGAGAATGTGCCTCCTGTCATCTCAACGCCACACCACTACCTCATCAGCATCTATCGGGATAAAATCTTCTTTGTGTCTGTCATACAGACAGAAGTGCCACCACTCTTTGTAATTGAATTTCTGCACCGAGTAGCAGATACTTTCCAGGTCTGTGAGCATTAAATAATTTTTAAATTGAATTAATTCCAAGGGAATTTTTTGAATAAACTTCTTTTAAAGAAAGGTACTAGACCCTCCCGTCAGTGACTTTCCCCTTTGCAATTTTTAAAAAGGTATATTTTGTGTATTCATTTGGTTATAGATACCAGTGCATATGCACTAAAACCCAGACCCCATTTTGTAAAAGCTGTGTTTTTTGCAGTAAGCTTTTGTGCTGTTCATGTTATGTAGATAAACAAGAAGGAGCACACAGTCATGAAGCGCTCTGTAGGGAGAAGAGAGATGTGAAGTAGGGGTCAGTTTTCAACCTATTTCACAGACACTAAATAAGATTCACAGATACCTCTGTGAAGACTGGGCATTGCCAAAATGTCCTTGTCTTTACAAGAGTCTTCTAACAGAAAACGTGTTAATGTTCACAAGTAGGAGAACCTTTGAGAGATCTATATACTAGTAAACCAGGTTACAATAATTTCATTGTTCATGCTGGTTTTATTTCTAATTAGATGATAAAGTAACTTTAACCTACGATGCAATCAGGCTATAGAAGTAGCTGGTCAGTTTAGGCTCTAGAATTCCTTGATATGTTGGAGAGTTTCTGTAAGCAGAAAACCCAAACAAACCTTTGCAAAGCATTTGAACAGGAATAAAAATCCTCTCCTTTGTAATCTCTGATTTGTTTAGGATTACTTCGGCGAATGTTCTGAGACTGCAATTAAGGACAATGTAGTTATTGTGTATGAACTTCTAGAAGAAATGTTAGACAACGGCTTTCCACTGGCAACAGAATCTAACATATTGAAGGAGCTGATTAAGCCTCCCACAATTTTGCGCTCCGTCGTCAACTCCATCACAGGTATGAAAAGAAATAATTTTCAGCAGTGACTGGCTGCTTAAAAACAAAGCCCCATCATGCTTCATGGCTAAAAAATAATATTGTATTGGTGTGAACCTGTCAGGTGAGGCCACTGTCCTGCCACTTCTCACAAGAGTTGAATAAAAGCAACTTCCTCCTTATTTGTACTTTATGCCTGGCCCCTTTGGTATCCCCAGTGGCACTGTCTGGTCCGGCCACAGCTGCCAGAGTCCCTCAGGAGCAGCAGTTCCCAGCACAGACAGCACATACTGGAGACAGGTGCTGTGGGATTGGTAGGGCCCCAAGCCTTGAATAACTCCGGGGCATTGGAGAAGGTTATTATGCATATTGTAAGAAGTCGTTATAGAAAGGTATATAACAGATATCTAATAAATCTTTGCTGACTGGGAACAGATAGCATGAAGAGAAGCAAATAGCCTGTCCTCAGCCTCCTCTCCGCCCCCACCACCACCCCCCACGTCCGTCAGGCTGTTGTGAATGGGCATGTCTTGCAGGGACAGAGCCAAATGTCTGTCAGCTGAGCTGGTGGAATCTGCTCCTCTGGCAAGGAGGGGAAAGGGAGTTACGTCCTGGGGTGTCGCAGGGGGTCAGGGATATGCAAAATCTGGAGGGGAACAGATTTAGACTGGAGATTAGGAGAGGGGTCTTCACTGTGAGGGTGGTGGAGCACTGGAGCAGGTTGCCCAGGGAGGTGGTTGAGGCCCCATCCCTGGAGATATTCAAGGAGAGGCTTGACGAGGCCCTGGGCAGCCTGGTCTAGTTGGGGGTGTCCCTGCTGACTGCGGGGAGGTCGGACTAGATGACCTTTGGAGGTCCCTTCTGGCCTGGGCAATTCTATGATTCTATGATAAAATGTTCCCCTGTGTTAGAGAAGGGTAGTAAGTGGGGCTGCAGGGCCACACAGATCTGGTGCTCAGAGGAGCCAGTCTTTGAGGTAGCACGCATGGTTTAATCTTTGAGTATAAATCTGATCAGTTTTAATTTCTGAAGTTTGGGTTTTCTTTTTTTTTTTTTTTAAATGTGATTTTGGATGGTAGTAGTTATACTTAAGAAAAATATCTATGACATTAATGGACTAGATGCACCACCGTAAGGGGAATTAAGACTCCTGAAGCCAAGGGTTGCAGCATCAAATCCTCTGGTTTTATCTAAAGCCTTATTAGAATTCCCTAGGGACCTAAAGCACCTGCCCGGGGCCTCCTGCGTCTTGTCACTGTCAACAGCTCAGCACTGAGCGGGTGAGAAAGGGCAGCCTGAGAGCTCTCCCCACTACCTGGCCTGGCAGCCCAGCCTGCAAGGCTGCTGAGGGACATGAGGGACAGACACACTGCCACATTTGCAGTGCTAAAGAGCACAAGCAAGTGTGAGCTGTGGCCCTGTCCTGAGACATACTTCTAGCAGAGGGAGTTGTGTCTGCTCTACTGGGATTCCAAGAGCTAAGCCCCAGAAGTGATGTGGTTTTTTTTTTTCCTGTTTAAATAATCATCAGTTTACTTTGTAACAAGGTAGCTCAGGAAGCCCTTTTCTCAGGCCGGTAAGAACCAGTTGACAGCAAGACAGGCAGTGGCAGTGGCATCACTGTTAGAGACCCCAGAAGTTGAGCCAACAGGTCAGGGTCAGGATCAGATGATAACAGTGTCATCTGCAGCTCAGCGATTGCCAGGAAAGTCCATCAGGACGAGCCAGGTCAAGCCAGAAAGCCAAGTCTGTGGGGCAGGGTCTGGGTGGATTTGGCATGTGGTCAGGTGTAGCTGTGGCTGTCACGTTGCTGCAAGGAGCTCAGATGGGTGCCAGGAGTGAGAGCAAGTATGGTCTGAAAACCTTAAATTGCATTCATGTCACCTAATGAATGAAATTTTAGTGGCCCAGGTTTTAGTCTGTTGTTCTTGGGGGCAAACCTTGCTTTGATTCTTCATTTTTGGCAATTGAAACATCCCTCTTGTAATAAATCACTGATTTTGAGTTCCTTTTCATTTTTAAGGCAGCAGTAATGTGGGTGACACACTTCCCACCGGCCAGTTGTCCAACATCCCTTGGCGCAGAGCAGGGGTGAAATACACAAACAACGAAGCTTATTTTGATGTCATTGAAGAAATTGATGCGATTATAGACAAATCAGGTAAGATGCTTTCTAAACTCATTTTTGTTTGTTGAATGTGTTTATATTTGGCTGCTGATGTTTAGAGAGAATACAGTCCAGTGGCTTCTTTGCATGTGTGTTATATACATGAATCTATATCTTAAATAGAAATACACAATTTAAAATAGCATGCCCAAAGGGATTTCTTCTGTTCATCTTAAAATAGCAATATGCTCTAGGCCTCTGCAGGAGCATCCACAAGAAATACCCTGTACTTAGATGCTGTTTGTATATTGATTATCTCTTAATACATATAAATGGAAAAAAATCATCGAAGTTTTAAATGTGATGAGATAATTATCTTCCATTGTTCCTGCCAACAATTTACTGTAGTCCTTGTAGGCCCTCAAATGAGGAAGACAAAAGCTTTAATTAGCTTTCTTCTCATAGCAAGACAAAACTTGGTGCAAAATAGCTAGACAGTGTTGTTTTCCTTATATATAAAGCTACTCTTTCCTGCTCTGATCCCTTGGGGACTGGCCATGCAAGAATCTTTCTTCCCAACCTTCGCTAGGACTAAGAAGTAGTTAAGGTTGTTCCCCCGGAACAGGGATGTTGTCTTGTTTCATAGGGTTCTGGTTAACTGATTTCACCTGAAACAGGATCCCTTCTTTTCAGGCGAAGTATTAACTCACAGTTTCTCCTTCTCCTTGACTAGATCAGCAACATTTTCTACGTATCTTCTAAAATAACCTTTGCTTGTAGGGCTAATCAGTGCAGAGTCCTGCTCATGCCTTTCTGTCCTTATAAGGGATTTAAGGAAATGAGTCCTTCCTGGGTGAGATGCTTGGTATTCTCGCTTTGGGTGGTTTGGGGTTTTTTTGCTCTTTGTGTATTTAACATGAAGATGGGTATGTAATCCCACTGCTAACCAAGCCGTGCTTGTGAACGCCGAGGTCATCTGGAGCTTTATAGTGCAAACCTACTGTGTTTTGATGTGATTCAGCTTCCCTGCACCACTGCCCAACTTGCTGGTTTTCTGGAGACAGGGGACAGGAGAGAAAGGAAGATTCAGAGCTTGTGTGTTCTGAAATTCTTATTTACTCATTGCTAGCAACCAGTTGAGGCACAGGCAGTGCAGGTCGGGTGTAACAGCTGGCACGAGTATAATTAGCTGATTTGGGACACGCTCTTTGCTCTGGCTCATGTATTTTCGCAAGCTGCCCAGGCCACAGGTAACTGGAATGACCTTTCTTATCTGTGCTTGGCGTGTTCTTGAGTGTTGTGCAAATGCCACCTGTGCCCTCCGGCTGCACTTCACAACCCTTGATAATAATGTTAAGTAAGTCCTGTCTTTTTTTCTTTTTTTTTCCCCACAGGTTCCACAGTCTTTGCAGAAATTCAAGGTGTTATTGATTCGTGTATTAAGCTCTCAGGAATGCCAGATCTTTCTCTTTCTTTCATGGTAAATGTAGCATATATTTGGGGATTTTAATTGCTCAGGATTTATTTTTCTTAATGAGCAGAGCTAATTTTAAGAGCACGGTCACTACTTCATGTGTTTTATATATATGAAAAATAACATAATGAGTTTTGCATTGTATTGTAGAAGTTGCTGCATTGCTTGGTAGTAGGAATGGCTTTTGTCTGTACATAAAAACACACTCACAGGAACTGCTGTACCAGGTCAGAGCAGAAATCCATCTACCTCAGAAACGTGTCTCAGATAATGGCTGGGAGTGATACTTGGAGTCTAAGAAATAGGAATTGTGTGGAGTTCAGTAACAGGTTTAAACTGCTGATACTTGATGTGATTTCATGTGCTGCTTTGTCACTGCTTTGTCACTGCTTTGTCACTGCTTCCAGAACCCCCGGCTGCTGGATGACGTGAGCTTCCATCCCTGCATCCGGTTCAAACGCTGGGAGTCTGAGAGAGTCCTCTCCTTCATCCCTCCCGATGGCAATTTCAGGCTGATCTCCTACCGCGTCAGCTCACAGAAGTAGGTTCCCATTGAGACACACAGATAATACAGGGCTCTTCATGCCCGGTCGTCAGTGTCGCTGCTGGATGCTTTGGGGCTGAGTCTCTGTGTCCACACAGGACTCTCATCTTCATACAATGAATAAAGCAAAAAAAGTCTAAACCGTAGGTATTTCCAAACTAAGTCTGATTCGACTGGTGGCTGTTCTGAGAATTGGCTCAGTGAGATTACTTTAAAAAAAATAAGAATTGGCTCAGTGAGATTACTTTAAAAAAAAAAATAAACAGATGGTGGGAAAGAGATTAGAACAAGTGATTTGGAAGAAAATCTCTTTTTTTTCCTGTGTTTTTCTGCTAATAAAATCACTTCAGCGATGATATTGAAGAGCTGAGTATCACTTTTCACTTTCAAAACAAACTGGTTCTAACTTGAATACCTGCCAGAAACACGAGAACTATTTATGAGAAAGAGCCTTATTTTCTCAAGCAGAGAAGTAGCCCGGATGCATTCACCTCCTGTCCTCTCTCCTCAGCTTGGTGGCCATTCCTGTGTATGTGAAACACATGATCAGCTTTAAGGAGAACAGTTCTTCGGGCAGATTTGATGTCACCATCGGACCCAAACAGAACATGGGGAAAACAGTGGAAGGAGTTGTCATGACCGTGCACATGCCAAAGGCTGTACTTAATATGAACCTCACTGCTACACAAGGCAGCTACACGTTTGACCCAGTTACTAAAGTAAGTCTTGAGTTTTTATTTATTTAAATATCTAAGGTGACATTAGAACAAGCCTCACACATCACAGAGCACGGGAGCAGCATTCCACACTTGGCAGAAAACTTTCAGCGTATGTTTCTGAATTAAAATCCTCTCTGAATTAAAATCCTTTCTGGTTTTATCAGTCTCCTTTCCCTTCCCCTCTCCCTTTTCTTCCTCTCTTTTCCCCTTTCCTTCATCCCCTAGTATTTTTCTTTCGTGGATGCAGCAGTATTTTGCTGGTGGTTTCAGCTATGGCGTATTTTGCAGCCTTTGTTCTTTAAAACATACTTATCTGGAGAACATGCAGCAGACTTGAAAACGGGTAGTCAGAAAAACGGGGAGCAGGAGATGAGAGAAAAATCTCTTCCATAAGATCTGCCTGAAGACACAGGAAGGAAAACAGAGGGTCTGAAAAACTGTATCTGGGGGGATCCGTTTTCTTGCCTCTGAGCTGGGGTTTGAGACCTAAATTTCCTAAAGCTCCTGAAGCTTTTTAGGACCCAGGAACCATTTGGCTGAAATGGAGCCTGAGCCAAACCATTCTGCTGACTGTGGCACCCTGCTCCGGGCTTTCTGCTGCCCTTGGAGTATCTCAGTCAGCAATTGATTGGAATTGTAAGTGAAAGCTCTCCAAGTAACATTTGGTTTCAAAAAGAACCAACCTTGATCTTTTAAAAACAAAAACACCAGCAAAACCACTTGAAGTCTCCTTTCCTCTCTGTGGAAATCAGTTATACTGTGTTTTTACCATGGGCTGGGATAACTGGGTGGATTGTAATGCAAAAGTTTGTAGAAATAGGGAGAACTGAGGTTTTTCTGCATTTATTAAAGATTTCCAGTTTTAGATAAGAACTACAAAAACCAGCCAACACCTAACCATGCCATCTCCCAGTGGGACCAGCCTGAAAACTAAAAGCTGGCCGTGAACTTGACCTCGTAAGTTGTTTCCTGGAAAGCCACTGCCACTGTTCTCTTTCCCAACAAGGTGTTAACGTGGGACGTTGGCAAAATCACTCCTCAGAAGCTACCAAACCTGAAGGGCATTGTGAACCTGCAGTCTGGAGCCCCCAAGCCAGAGGAGAATCCCAGTTTAAACATCCAGTTTAAGATCCAACAGCTTGCAATTTCAGGTGAGTGGGTGGGTGTTACTGGAGACTGGTACTGACAGAATGAGCAGCAGTAGGAAGTGAACTGAGAAACTGTTAATCTTTTTGGAATGAGCAGCAGTGAAGGAAGTGAACTGAGAAACTGTTAATCTTTTAATGGGAGATGCTGATCTGAAATCAGCTTGGGCCGAAAAGGTAAAGTTTGGTTTAGCCAAACCTGACAGTTTCCCTTGCCAGAAGATTCTCTTGCTGGGAATTGTGAATTCCCAATTGTTTTACTAGAAAAAGATTGTGAGACATTTACAGAAGAATTGATTTTTCTTTCTTGACTTGTGCATTGAACATGCAAATTTATCCTTTTAGTGAAGAGTGATGGACGATGATTTAAGATGGTGCTCACGCCTTGCTTCACCCTTGTGCCACTAAAGCCCTTCCTAGGGGTCAAAAAACTCCATTAATTTTAAAGAACACCCTTCTTACTCTTCCCTTCTGGAGCTGGTTAGTTTTTCATCTTCAAAACAATCTGCAAATAAAATGAGAATGAAGTGTAGAGAGTAAGTGCAAAAGTAAATTTAAAGCAAATGAGCAAATGCCTAAATCAGGCGAGTCGTCCACGTGTGAAATGCTGGTGTAAGGCAGCTTTGGGGGATTACGAGCCTCAGGGACTCCCCTGGGGATGGGAGGAGGATGAGGGAAGACAGCAGAGGAGAATCTGGCAGGACACGTAGTACCTCTCTTGGTAGCAAAAGGCTGTGGTCCTTTTGCTTTCTAGACTGCTGTGCTCTGTCAAAAGTGGTTACTCCTTGCATAAGAGCAGAATCCTGCAGTTCCCTTTCAAAACTTGCAGTCCACTGTTTGAGTCTAGTGGATCCAATGGCTGGATGCTAAAGGTGGTAGAGCTGTGAGAAAGCAGGGGACAACCCAAAACTCTTCAATAATTAAGAGCTACTGGCATTCCTCAGTTAATAGCAGGGGGCTTGCTGGACCTTGAAATAATGACCTTAGAGTGCAAAGAATTTTAAAACCTTTCCTTTGCTTCATCTGTGTTATTGGAAACGAGCGCAGTGCAGAGGAGCTGGGGAAGGTCAGATTCCTCCTTGGGTGCATCCTGGGGCAGGAGGATGTTGGCTCAAGGAGCACAACAGGAAAAAGCTGTTGCCCTCCCAGAGCAGCTCCAGGTAGGGCCAAAAATGCTCCATTCTGCTCTTTCAAACTGGATGAACTTGTGAGAGGAAGGAAAATTCACCTCCCAACCGACCGTAACATGCTTCAAGAAAACAGGACTTCTATACAGCCCGAGACAGCTTGTAGCATTCTGCTTTTAACTCTGTACTTTGTCTTTTTCAGGCCTGAAAGTGAATCGCTTAGACATGTACGGAGAAAAATACAAGCCTTTTAAAGGTGTCAAATATATTACAAAAGCGGGAAAATTCCAAGTCCGGACATGAGAAGATGCTCTGCTTCCATGAGGAAATCCCCCTTTAAAAAAAAAAAAAACTTGACTGCTTAGTGACTTATGTTGCTATTAATTAGGTGCCAATTAATTGATTAATAGACACTGATTAGTTCGGGATCAAAGCATTTGTGCACAGCAGCTCTTAAATTGAAAGGCATAGCTTAGTTTTTTTCTTAATAAGGTACTTTTTTTCTAATACACCTTTCACTGTTTTTTTACTGACTTGTTGTGCTGGTGAGTAGTTTGATAGAGGTTGAGCCACAAACCGTGGCAGCCGCTGCACTGCCAGCCCCATACCAAAGCCCAGAGGCTGAGCCTGTGGTGAGGGCCACACAGAAAAGTCTCTTGGTGGCACATTTTGCTGCTGCAGCTGCCTGTGGAGAAAGCTGAGCTTCTCCCGACAGCCGGCTGCCGGCCCACGGTCCACAAAGCATCACCTCATCCCGGCACCAACGGAGAGGGGGCCCCCAGGGGCTGGGGACAGAGCAAGCGTCACTCCTGAGAAAGAGCTTCTGATGAAGAAAAAAAAAAAAAATTAAAAAAAAAACACCAACCACACCACGTCCTTGTTGTTTACAAGAAATCGCCTTTCTTAAGAAGCATTTGCCTTAATCAGCTTTCATTTGTGCCATCTGCAGATGAGCTGATAAAAATAACATTCTGCATTCAATCTGGGAGGTGAGCGTTGCTTCAGAAATCCACTTTCTTTCCATTCAGTCTCAGCCGTGTCATTTTTTTTAAGAATACAGTTGCAGAGAGTAAGATCTATTTTTTAATGTGAAGCCTTTGCTGTAGATGTAGATGTTCCACTTGTCCCCAGTGGGTGCCACCAGACCTGTGCCATGTGTACGTTGGAGCGTAGCTTTGTAGGTAGCGCAGTACAAGTGTCAAGTGTATTTAATGGTTGTGTGCTTTAACGTTCTGAAATAAAGGGAACTCTGCTGCAAATAACCTCTTCTCTGGTGAAGTGTTTGCTACCAGAAACCATTCGAGATGCAGGAGACACCTGAGGAACAATTAAACCACAGCCATTGGTCTTAGGCTGAGGAGCCCAAGTGCAGGATTGGGGAAGGGTGAGATACTGGAGAAGCTTTTGTTTCCAGGACCTGTTCGCCTGATGCATTGACCAACAGCTGCTCGCTTCGCTTTGGATGAAGAACAGGAACCAAAGTCAAAATTTCAGGTTTTGGGACAAAAAGTGATCCAGAAGGGATGAGGCAAACCCCATTTCAGGTTCCCAGAACCCTGTCTGGAGCCACAGGAGCAGGTGACCCTCAGGCTCTGGGAAAACTCCTGGTTTCTCCCTCTGGCCCCCAGCTTCCAGCACGTTCTTTAATTACTCATCTTAGAGGCACGAAAGACAGAAATAACCCGTTTTAATCTTCTGTTTGAGCAACTTGGGAGGTTTTTTTTTCTGTTCAGAACCTGTAGAAACCACCATTCTTCAGCATTTCTGCTGTTTCAGGTGTCACCCACCGCTCCCTCCTCACCAACACCCACACGCCGACTTTTGTACAAATGCATTTTTATTGTTTTAACAGAACCCAAGAGAGGTTGAAAACATTAGACTATACAATACATTTTGGTTTATAAACAAAGTTTTATAGTGGTAAAACATTTCTAAGTGACATTCATGGTCTTTTTCAAATTTTTTCTGCTGCGTTTCAGGGTCTGAAGACCAATAGTGTTCAAAAAAAAAAAACAACCAAAGCAGCAATTGCATAAGCTGGACAAGTATCTTGGCTTCTACAAAACAGTTCAAGAACTCAGAGCAAACATTCTGGAAGAATATCCAAGGCAACCATGATTCGTAGCTTTCCTGCAAACATCCCTCGATAAACAAAAAAAGTGATCTTTGGCATAAACAATTATGTATTAAAGGCATTAGTAATATTGCATTAATATCAGTCAAGCAACTAAACAGTGATGCTAAAAAGACAAAATAAAAATCTCACAGAGAAGCCTGAACTGGGGGGGGAGGGAGGAAACGTGAGGAGCGTTGGAAAGTCATAAAGGAAGACTATTTAGAAAAATCCCTTAAAAATAACCCCTACCTATTCAGTGTTATTTACTATTAAATAGAAATTACTACATTACAATTATGTTAAAGATCTGGTATAAACCAACCGAAGGCAAGACATTGGGGTTAAGGCTCTGGCTTCCCTTCCTTCCTCTTCCTCTGGCAGGTACTGGCAGGAAGAGAGCACCCAGGAAAGGCCCCAGGGACCACGTGTTTCCTCACCCGCGGGCGCAGGGAGCAAGTCAAAGAGGCCCCTGTGCTTTCCCTTGCTCAGGTCAGTTCGAGGCAGATGGATTTATTAATCATCAGTTTAACTTCCCTTTTTAGATAACAGTGCAACCAAGGAGGGGGGTTGAGGGGAGAAAGTCCAACTGTAGGGTCACTGTTGCAGAGAGGTAAAGGACAGAGGACTGACTGTCCCCCGGGCGTCTCCTCCAGCTGTTAAGACTGAGCAGTTTTCCCCCAAGGGCACTTCCACTGAGGCTGGTTTGATCACACAACAGTTTTCAGCAAAATTAAGAGGTCAGGGCTGATGTGGGCAGGAGCCTGCAGGTGCTCCCCATCCTAAAACACTCATTTTCCTTTCTCACCAATGCCCAAAGAGACTGTGGAGCAATTCCATTAGTGTGTGTGTGTGTATCTATCTCAAGGCATTTTCAATTACCGAAGGCTAAAAGCATCCCAAGTCCATTGTAGTAATAGAGTGGGAGGATTTTGTGGGGTTGTGTTGTTGTGGGTTTGTTGGTTTTATTATTTTTTTTTAAGATACAGTAAACACTTTGTTCAATTCACTATTACTAGACCCTGAAAACAGATTTTGAGCCTCCAAACATCAAAACCATTTAAAATATCTGCGTATGTTGTGCATCAGGACCCCCCATTTGCTGGGAGCCCTCAGACTGCCTGAAAAAGGGTTTCATGTGTCCCTGCAGCGCTTGGGTTTCAAAAAGCTTATGGAAATGAGGACGGTGAGGCCAAAGGTCTTTTCTAATTGAGTATCTTTACCTTTCAATTTCCACCTTGAGTGGCTGGAATCACATTAGATGGAAGGAAGAGGGAGGGGAAAAAAAAAAAACCACAAACCAAAACTGCATGTGCTCATTTGGTTTTCAAAAGGAGAGAGCCAGCACGTGGCGTTTGCTGGTCCTGGACACGCAAGATTAAGACAACCAGGATTTTTTCTTTTTTCAGCTCAATACATTACTGATTTGGGCAAGAAGGAAAAAGTTCCATGATTTAAGGTCTCCAGCCACAAGGTTCAAGCTGTCAACAGTGGCCACTCGCAGCCACTGCAAAGCCTTTCAGTCCAGTACCAGAGGTCTGGAATGCCCACCTGCAGGGTGACAGAGACAGCTCCAGTTCTGGTTAAAGTCCTGTTGCCAGGCAAAAATCAAAAGCAAAAAAAAATATGTATCATTTCAGACATGGAATTGTAATGGTCAGTTCACATCTATTCTGCTGACACCCCACCCTTTGCTTTTTAATTAAAAACCTCCACGCCCTTCTGTCATTTCCACACGGTTTAAGAACAGCCCAGCTAAAATCTCATTGAAAAGTTGAATGTTTCTATATCCATGATTGTCCCTAAAAAAACCTGCCAGGTAACCAATAGTGTCCTAGACTCTCAACACAAGCTTAAAGTGAGGTCCATGTTTTATATCATCACATGGAAGTTACCAGAATATACAGTGCATACATGAAATGTGCTTCTGGGAGTACAGGATTCATGAAGAAAATCTTCAAAAGCAAAAAAAAAAAAATAAAAAAGAGGATAAGAACTGTCTACTGTTGGAAGCAATTTTGAGGTGTTTGATACCAAACGCGTTCCGAAGACATTTGAAATGCATTCTCATATAACTCATACCCTTAGAATGGGGCATTAGCACAAGCTAATCTCAAGCTCATGTAAACAGCACCTTCTGCTGTCAATATATCTCTTCTGTTTCCAAAAAAAAGGCATTTTTTTATGTTACAGAAAACAATACTTATGTGGCGAGTGTTTACTGATACCACGGGGTCTTCCTGACCCAGCGAAGGGTGAATCCAGCATCTGTTCTGATCTTAATGGACGCTGCTTCAGCTTCTCTCACCGTTTCCTTCACAGACTGCATGAGGTTCTGGGCGTTGTGAACCAACATCTCGGTCGCCTGTCAAGAAAAAGGACAATTCCCAGTGTATTGGTAAATTCAACTTTGAGGACAGTAGCAGGGAATCCCACTGTGCACGAGGACTCCCAGAACAAGCATGAAATGAGTCGATTGAAGAAAACCACCTCTGGAAACCTGCCTCATGACAAGACTTTCCCATTTCTCACTGAATGTTTGTGCAAAATCTGAATATTTTCACTACCATCCACCAGAGGGCGCTAATACTCCTCCAGTGCCAAACCTGCCGAGTTTATAGATTAGATGTAAATTCTTTCACGAGCTCGCTTTTTACTGCCTAGTCAATGAGATTGAGAAGTTTTTCATATCTAAATTTGAATCAGAGGAGCATTTTGGCTCGGGAAAGGCTGATGTTCCTCTATTAAACTGTAGCTTTTGAGCCAGAAACTTATCTTTCTTATCTTTCCTAAGCAGCTGAGGTAAGCTTCCAAACACTGAGTTCCCAGAACACATCTGATATTACATATCCTATATTTTTCCCCATAAAACTGATGAACAATTCCAGGCTACCATCAATTTTTACACCTCTTACCTGTTCCGACTCTTCGTCGCTGATATTAGTCCTGCCCAGCATGGTGGCTTTGACAGTGGAAAGAATTTTGAGTTGGGTACTGATGGTTGGGATTCGCTCACAGACCTAAGGAACAGGGATAAGAAACACATGGGAAACTGAACCCACACATCATCTATACTTTTTTTCAGGTAAACTGTTCAATTTTGTTTTACTATTAGATAAGGAATAAGCGTAGAGGGAATCTTATAGCCTTTAAGACTTTCTGACACATACTGGTAGGATACTTGAACCTTATTTTACTTTTTTAGGAGTTTTTGGGATGGAGCCAACATTTTTCCTTTCCTCCAGACATTCCTCAAGGGTCTGCTTGTTTAGGAGTGAGAGGATGTACATTTGGCTGAGACTGATAAACTAAGGAGTGTTCTATTTCCACTGCTGTTCTCTGATACCAAGGGATGAGGAGAAGGACCAAGGGATGAGGAGAAGGACCAAGGGATGAGGAGAAGGACCAAGGGATGAGGAGAAGGACCAAGGGATGAGGAGAAGGACCAAGGGATGAGGAGAAGGACCAAGGGATGAGGAGAAGGACCAAGGGATGAGGAGAAGGACCAAGGGATGAGGAGAAGGACCAAGGGATGAGGAGAAGGACCAGAGAGCAATGCAGCCTTAGGACACTGCAATGTTCACAGCGCAGGATTTTTCAAGAGCTCTTTGGGCACTGGCATCTTCTGCTCACCTGGAAACAAATCCTGAATTTACAGAATATGTACGACCATGGGATCTAAAAAACATACCACTTGCCAAAACTTTGTGAGCTTGGGAAGGAGACCTGATTTACTGCCCCAGCTCCTGCGCTCGCTCATACCGAGACGGGAACAAAGGGAGAAGTATTTGAGGCATTTCCAGGTTCCCCTCGTTACCTGCAAGAGGTTGGTTCTGATCCTCTTGTCCGTGCACTGCTTGGCCACCTCCTTGGCCAGTCGAGTGACTTCATCAGAGGCCTTGGCGATGTCCTTGGCGCACTGAATGAGGGCGCGCTTGTTGCCGCTGCCCCCTCTCACCAGGCGGGACATCTCGGCCATCAGCAGGGCCATGCGCTTGGCCGCCGCGATGATGTCGTTACCCTGAGGAGAACAACCCCACGTGAGCCTTTGGTAGCCTCCCAAAGTCACCACCGACCAGCAGCCTATGTCTCGGCAGCAACCCTTTCAAGAAGAACCACCATTTGTGAAGACAGAAGAGGTTTCTTCAAGGAACAGGGAAGATCTGGACTGAATTACACGTTTCTGACATTTATTTTTCTTCCTAACACTCAGGGGGAAAAAAAAAGTTCGCTTCAGAACTGTAAAAGAAGTGGTAAAGAGAAGTGTTAGTTTGTCCATGGAATGAGGGTTACTGCTCTGCTGGCTAGGTTTTAAGATAAAGCACGTTATTAGCATTTGAAATTCCAGATTTCCCAAAAAAGGCTTTTTTTTAAAAAAATCAAAAAAAGTGTGCTAAATAGCTTGTTAAACCAAATAGCACTAATTAAGTTCAATAGAGTGGTTGTAACAGTTGAGCATAAAATTTTCGGTGGCATCGGAATCTGGAGCGGTTAAAGCATCAGCTCTGCTGCTGTAACGCTGGGGCTGGATCAATGGAGAGAATATCCAACATACAAAGCTTTTGTCACAGGTGATGTGAAAAAGGAGATGCAACCATGACTTGGGGATTTTTGTTGTTTTTTTTTTTAAAGTTATTCCTTGAAAATAAGTCTTCCTTTTGACAATCTCTCTCCCTTTAAAGTAAAGCTTCCAGGAGAGAAGAACATGACAGTTCAAAGGATACTCTAATGATGTGTCTTAACATTAAAATCCAGATTTTGGATCGCAATTACAGTCACAGAAATACTTGTGAGAAATATCTGAAACATGTGAATTAAGTATGATCGAGGCAAAACCATTTCTAAGACACTGTTCCAGAGAGAAACCCAGTGTGAGGAAAAGCAGAGCTAGATGATGGTGGTTAGTGGTCTGTCAGCACGTTTAGATTCACCTCTGCAGAAAGCTGTAAGACTCAGGTGAGCCATGTGGTGCCGTGAAGCTTTCCTATGGTGTGGGTGGAATATCAGCAGAGTGAGTTTAGGTATTAGCACGCTCCTTCCTCTGTACAATTCCACAATTAGTGGCCAATGAAGTTCAGAGCAAAGAGCACACAGCAAGAACCCAACTTAGCAGATGTCATCTCTGTCCCTGTGCACGTAATCCCATCTCTCACTGTCAGCAGATTCAGGAAGATACCCCAGATGTTTCACAGATACAGGTGACACAAGAAGCTGAACTATTTGTTACCGTGCCCTAACAGCTAAGGAGTTTGCTAGTACAACCAATTAGGATGCAAACAACACAACACAAAGCTTTTCCGTGTTTTCACGTAGGAGGATCAAGAAATTAGGACCAGTGTCCTTTACGAAGCCCTCTAACAAGTTATCCAAGCACCAGAATCTGAAAAGGACAAGAACATTTTAAAAGCCCTTTTTATTACAATAGCTTAGTTTAAGTCGCTATGTAAATATATGCAGACACACATATACATAACACACACCTCTAACCTCTGTTTGTTACGGGACACCAACCTTATTCTTTGCAGCATGCTACAAAAAGTGACCAGTCTGGCAAACACTTGTGCTTAGACAGAAGAGACAGGCTACGTGTGAACATCTGAACCTCGTGTTAGGTTTCCACTGGTTTCATAGAAAAAAAAACCAAAACCCCACAATCTCAATCCGGCAGCTAAAGAGCATCCAGTGCAGATTCTTCAGAAGAAGAATTCTCTCAAGACCAGCGTTTGCAACACAGCCAAGTGCAAGCCCACAGCCACTCCGTCCTCCTCCACACCCACTGCCAGACAAAGCCATTCCGTGGCAGAAGGTGTCCTCACGGATGGGCATCAAGGGAGGCAAAGCACAAGGGACACGCTGAATGACTTCGTGAACGCTGTACGCTCTGCTGTATCTGGAAGTCATTGAGAAACCATGAACCATGGCTTCCCAGGCAGCCCAAATGAATGGGGAAAAAGAACAGGGGAAGGGGGAAGGGAAGGCAACCCCTACCACAATTTGAGAACTGCCATAACACAGGAACAGGCAGATGCAAAGGGAAAGGGAAGCCTTTAAGTATTAATAAGTGACCCAAATCAAGCTTCAATCCAGCACTTGACAAACAAGATCTAGCAAACCCGTGAAGCCACTCCCAGCCCTGGAAATGAAGTGCAGACACACTGAATCCATTCAGAGCGGCAGGGCCCAGCAGGGATCAAGAGTGATGCAAATGTGTCAGCGTTCCCAACGGCTGGATGCACACGGATCAGGCCCCGGGGAGACTCGGGAGTACCTTACTAGACCACTTGGTTGCTTCCCGATGCAGAGACTGAGCAGCAGCCAGAATGGGCTGGTTAACGGGCTGATTGGTTGGCATTAACAGCAGCTCAGGCTCGTAATCATCTTCAATGTCAGAGGGGAGAGTGAATTCAACATCTGCATCATCCTCCTCATCTACATCTACACCAGCCTCAGCCGCTTCATTAATCACAGTCACATCAGGCTTTGCAGGTGGCAGCAGGGGTGGAGAAACAGGGGGACAGTTAGTACCAGAAGCAGAATTTGGTAGAAGAGCATGAACTGAGCTGTTTTAGCGACCAAAACATCCTCTTGGTCTCCCAGGATCTGGCAAGACAGCTCTAGGACGGGGTCAGAGGGAAGGGGGAAGGAACACAAGATTAGCAGAAGGAAAACAAACATTTCACCTGCGAACCAAAGTCACCATAAAATATTAGGAAGTTACAATTCAAAGATACAGCAACATTTTTCATCTGAGGGTACAGCTTCTACAGAGGCTGACTTGCAGAACAACATTTTTCTGGCAAGACAAGGGTGAAATGAATGGATTTGCTGTTTCAATGAAAGCCATTTCGACAGCACGGAAGCGGGCGCAGCAGCTGATGGGGGTGGCGTTTGTGCAGACAGAAAGCTTTGTATGGAAGCCCATTCACAGATGTGTGATAAGAAGAGAGAACAGCAGGATCTGGGGAAAAAAAAACCACTGACACCACCTGCTGTAGATGGGGGGAGAATAAAAAAAAAAAGAGAGGGAACAAAAAAAAGGTGGGGGACACGGTAGAAATGAGTATTGAAGCACCACAGATAACATGAAAATGAACAAAACTGGGTTATGAGAAGAGGAGGTGATATTGAATGTTATGAATGCTGTGAATATCACAGTTCTAAAAAAAAAAAAAGCCTGAAACGGAATTAGAATAAGAGGATTATGAAGCATATGATACTGTTTTGCCACAATATGTTGTATCCGTTACCTTCAAAAAAGAGGATTCAAGCAAATATATTGTGTTAGGGTAGATGACAAGGAAGAGGGCAGTGGTGTAACGATACGGGCATTTCTAACACAGCAGCATTTCAACACACAAATATTCTACACATTTACTGACTTATCACCCTCGGCTTTAGTAAAAGAAATAAAGTCAAACTACCCTTACCAAAAACTACGCATTTTCAACTGTGTTTTGCTTAAGATACGGCCTTTTATAGAAAAAGACATCTACACCAACAAAAATACACAGAAGTTTTCCAAGGAAGTACTAACTTTTATGTACTGCCAAATCAACTCAGCTTCAAAGACAACTTCTATTTAAGTCTCAATCTAATGAAAAGTTTCCAAATATCCCTCATTTTCTGATTTATCCAAATGAGGGGGAAAGGCAGGGAAAGCTAAAGCAATAGCTCCGTCAGAAAAATGGAATACATAAAAGCCCAGAATCCACTCAGGGGAGTTTTTGAAAAGGAGGAAAAAAAAATAAATATATAATTTCAAGTCTTACAAGACTTAAGAATGTTATAAACATTTTTTAAAGACTAAATACTTGTCCCTGCTGGTAAGTGTAACACATGGTAAAGTACCAGTGGACTAATGTAATCGGGGAAAAAATCTGGCACACAGAATTGGAAAGACAAACACTAGGCTGACTGAAAGAGGGGAGATTTAGATTAGATATCGGGAAGAAATTCCTTCCTGTGAGGGTGGTGAGACACTGGAACAGGTTGCCCAGAGAAGCTGTGGCTGCCCCATCCCTGGAGGGGTTCAAGGCCAGGCTGGATGGGGCTTGGAGCAACCTGGTGTGGTGGGAGGTGTCCCTGCCCAGGGCAGGGGGTTGGAACTGGATGAGCTTAAATGTCCCTTCCAACCCAAACCATTCCATGATTCTATAACCAGCAAGGAGTTTTTAAGGTCTTAAAGTAAGGTTTAATACCTACTGTGTATTGTTAAGTTACCACTTTGGGATTCAAACATCAAAACACCTTTAGGAAGTGAAATTAAAGCTTTTGGCCTCAAAACTACCTTCTGAGTTGACTCATACGTTCCAGTACTATCCCTTTAGTAATATAAATCTGCATTTGGTATATCCAGAAGCACAGGGCAACAGAGCTTTTCATTTTACAGAAGAGACATTCAAACAGACCTGTAGGATGACTTCTATATTTTATCTGTACTTCCAAAACAGATGTTTCCCCTAAGCACAAAGCACTGCAGTTGATTCTGTGAGCTATTCGAATTTGTCTTATCATTCACCATCTAATTTGGTGAAGGAAAAAAGCAGAGGTTTTAAAACCCAAATTCTGACCTCTAATTTAGACCTGCAGAAGCCTAAATCTCAAAAGTTCTTACTCAGTAGCTGCCAGAGGAAAAAAGTTGCTCACTGGGGAAAAAAGGGGAAAGCAAAAAGTTATATTAGCATTTATAAGACTGACGAGTTCACATTGCTTTGTCATAGCACTGAAATGGGAAGGAAATGAAGGATTTTGGCCTTAATAGTGTGTGACTCACTACAAAAAAAGAATGAGGCCAAAAAAGAACAAGACCAGGCCATCTATATATGGTCACTTTTCCGATCATAAATGCACCAGATTAACTCCAAAGTGACTTGCAGCCCCTTCCAAAATTAAGACAAAGCAGCTCATGATTTCTGCAGCTAACACACAAATATTCTACACATTTACTGACTTATCACCCTCGGCTTTAGTAAAAGAAATAAAGTCAAACTACCCTTACCAAAAACTACGCATTTTCAACTGTGTTTTGCTTAAGATACAGCCTTTTATAGAAAAAAACATCTACACCAACAAAAATACACAGAAGTTTTGCAAGGAAGTACTGACTTTTAGGTACTGCCAAATCAACTCAGCTTCAAAGACAACTTATTTAAGTCTCAATCTAATGAAAAGTTTCCAAATATCCCTCATTTTCTGATTTATCCAAATGAGGGGGAAAGGCAGGGAAAGCTAAAGCAACAGCTCCATCAGAAAAATGGAGTACATAAAAGCCCAGAATCCACTCAGGGGAGTTTTTGAAAAGGAGGAAAAAAAAATAAATATATAATTTCAAGTCTTACAAGACTTAAGAATGTTATAAACATTTTTTAAAGACTAAATACTTGTCCCTGCTGGTAAGTGTAACACATGGTAAAGTACCAGTGGACTAATGTAATCGGGGAAAAAATCTGGCACACAGAATTGGAAAGACAAACACTAGGCTGACTGAAAGAGGGGAGATTTAGATTAGATATCGGGAAGAAATTCCTTCCTGTGAGGGTGGTGAGACACTGGAACAGGTTGCCCAGAGAAGCTGTGGCTGCCCCATCCCTGGAGGGGTTCAAGGCCAGGCTGGATGGGGCTTGGAGCAACCTGGTGTGGTGGGAGGTGTCCCTGCCCAGGGCAGGGGGTTGGAACTGGATGAGCTTAAATGTCCCTTCCAACCCAAACCATTCCATGATTCTATAACCAGCAAGGAGTTTTTAAGGTCTTAAAGTAAGGTTTAATACCTACTGTGTATTGTTAAGTTACCACTTTGGGATTCAAACATCAAAACACCTTTAGGAAGTGAAATTAAAGCTTTTGGCCTCAAAACTACCTTCTGAGTTGATAATATATAATTTCAAGTCTTACAAGACTGAAGAATGTTATCAACATTTTTTAAAGACTAAATACTTTTCCCTGCCAGTAAGTGTAACACATGGTAAAGTACCATGGACTAATGCAATCGGGGAAAAAATCTGGCACACAGAATTGGAAGGACAAACGCTAGGCTGACTGAAAGAGGGGAGATTTAGATTAGATATCGGGAAGAAATTCCTTCCTGTGAGGGTGGTGAGACACTGGAACAGGTTGCCCAGAGAAGCTGTGGCTGCCCCATCCCTGGAGGGGTTCAAGGCCAGGCTGGATGGGGCTTGGAGCAACCTGGTCTGGTGGGAGGTGTCCCTGCCCAGGGCAGGGGGTTGGAACTGGATGAGCTTAAATGTCCCTTCCAACCCAAACCATTCCATGATTCTATAACCAGCAAGGAGTTTTTAAGGTCTTAAAGTAAGGTTTAATACCTACTGTGTATTGTTAAGTTACCACTTTGGGATTCAAACATCAAAACACCTTTAGGAAGTGAAATTAAAGCTTTTGGCCTCAAAACTACCTTCTGAGTTGACTCATACGTTCCAGTACTATCCCTTTAGTAATATAAATCTGCATTTGGTATATCCAGAAGCACAGGGCAACAGAGCTTTTCATTTTACAGAAGAGACATTCAAACAGACCTGTAGGATGACTTCTATATTTTATCTGTACTTCCAAAACAGATGTTTCCCCTAAGCACAAAGCACTGCAGTTGATTCTGTGAGCTATTCGAATTTGTCTTATCATTCACCATCTAATTTGGTGAAGGAAAAAAGCAGAGGTTTTAAAACCCAAATTCTGACCTCTAATTTAGACCTGCAGAAGCCTAAATCTCAAAAGTTCTTACTCAGTAGCTGCCAGAGGAAAAAAGTTGCTCACTGGGGAAAAAAGGGGAAAGCAAAAAGTTATATTAGCATTTATAAGACTGACGAGTTCACATTGCTTTGTCATAGCACTGAAATGGGAAGGAAATGAAGGATTTTGGCCTTAATAGTGTGTGACTCACTACAAAAAAAGAATGAGGCCAAAAAAGAACAAGACCAGGCCATCTATATATGGTCACTTTTCCGATCATAAATGCACCAGATTAACTCCAAAGTGACTTGCAGCCCCTTCCAAAATTAAGACAAAGCAGCTCATGATTTCTGCAGCTGCAGCATCCACAGGCTTTTCGAAGTCACTTTAAATACAGCAATCCATCAGCCTGTCAGCCTGGGAAGCCTTAACTATTTGTGGCTCTCTCCAGGCAATACCAGGATTAAGGTTCACAAACAGCTTCACACAGAAGGCACATCTGTGTTCCTAGAGGTGTGTTAATCGAGCATTCCAGCAATGTGAGTATTGCAACAGTTGACCCTCGCTCACTCCCAACTTGAAAGAGTTTCTAACTCCTCCTATGGCACTGGTTTTACTATTTGGTCTGTAAAAGACTATTCTCTGCCATTGAGGCAACTGACTTAGGAGCAAACATACTGGCCCTAAAATATATAAATAAATAAATACAGTTATTTTTATTACCCCAGGGAGCTGGGGTTGTTCAGCCTGGAGAAGAGGAAGCTCCAGGGAGACCTAACAGCAGCCTTCCAGTACCTGAGGGGGCTACAGGAAGGCTGGGGAGAACCTGTTTACAAAGGCCTGTAGTGACAGGATGAGGGGCAATGGCTTTAAATTGGGAAAGGGCAGATTTAGATTGGAGATTAGGAGAAAGTTCTTTACTATGAGAGTGGTGGAGCACTGGAACAGGTTGCCCAGGGAGGTGGTTGAGGCCCCTTCCCTGGAGATATTCAAGGTGAGGCTCGACGAGGCCCTGGGCAACCTGGTCTAGTTGGGGGTGTCCCTGCTGACTGCGGGGGGGTCAGACTAGATGACCTTTGGAGGTCCCTTCCGGCCTGGGAAATTCTATGATTCTATGAAAATCAAGTAATACACCTCTTAGCACAAGGCACATCTCACAACTCCTCACCTTGCTAGACCACTTCCGGGCTTCATCGTGCAGCTGCCTGGCAGCCATCATCATGGGCTGATTAATAGCTTCTCCTGCCTTCTGCTCCGGGAACTCCTCATCCTTTTCTTCAGGTGGTGGTGGCCTGGGTGGGGGAACTTCACCTTCTGGAAGTGGTGGTTTGGGAGGAGCAAGCTCATCAGTCAGCTACGGAAGGCAAAAATCACATTCAGTGCAATGAAATAGTACAGACTGAGTGAATCAACACAGACTGAGTAAAGGGTGGTGTCATGGCAAGACATGATTTTAGATACTAGAAAGAAATTCTTTCCTGTGAGGGTGGTGAGAGCCTGGCCCAGGTTGCCCAGGGAAGCTGTGGCTGCCCCATCCCTGGAGGGGTTCAAGGCCAGGCTGGATGGGGCTTTGAGCAACCTGGTCTGGTGGGAGGTGTCCCTGCCCAGGGCAGGGGGTTGGAACTGGATGGTCTTTAAGGTCCCTTCCAACTCTAACCATTCTATGATTCTATGATTGCATGAGCTCATGCCTTTTGCCAGTTTTTCAAGTGCACCCTGTTAAAGAAAATACCATGTTTTCATCTCTTTTGAAAGCTGGATTGGTATTTTTCAGACCGAAGGCTACTTGAATGGCTGAGCAGCCAATGCATCTTGTTTTTAAGGAACAGAAATATACTTAAGCAATTTTAGCATGCAATCCACATGTTATCAGTGACAATTGTGTCAGATTGTATCAGAAACTCCGCTGCACTTACGTGAAGCTGCTCAAGGTCAGGAGGAGGAGGGGGGAAATCTGGTTCTTGAGGCTGGAAGGCTTCTCTGACTTTGGCCACAGCTCCCAGAATTCTGTATCCAGAATCCAAGAAGCTCTTCTGCAAAGCTGAACAAAAATCCCATTACCAGTTTAACAGCATTCTGTAATATTTACATCTGCAAGACTACCCCAAAAAATTACTTCTAGAATGTACAGTGTTGAGTACACTTATCTTTGTGAAAAAATTGTTTAAAAACTACCAAATTGTTTACAGTGGATTTACATGTTTGAGATGTTAAGCATCATATGTAACATGAATGAAATAAAATCTAGGCTGAGTAATAGTCACTATCAATAGCCAAAATAATTCCCAAAACAACTTTAGACTAAAAGAAATTACGTGATATTTTCTTACCTAAAGTAGTACTAGTGATAACTAGTGACAAATACTTCTAATAAAGATTATGAAATCACATAATCAACTAGAACACTGAATCCTTTTCCCCTGAATGTGCCAAAGGTCTTTGGTTGCATTTTAAAAGAGGAGGATTCAGCAGGTGTGACCTTGATTTCACCATTCTGGGATTTAAGTGCACACAGAACTTGCATACAAGGGGATACGTAGCTGTACAAGACCGAATGAGCACTGCTTCACATCAGCTTCAGCCAGTAAAAAAAAATATATATATTTGAAATCAGCTTGCTGAGTCCTTACCAGGATCAGAAATGTTTCCTGCCACAGCTTTAGCATCCATCACCATTGGTGATATAGTTTTGCTGAGCTCATCAGAGGCTGCTTTAACTGCCTCACGGAATTTAGGGTCTTCTGAATTTTCCACCTCCCGTTTGGCCACCAGTAGGATGCGGTTTGCTCGTCTGGCGATGCTGGTGGCACCAGCTACCAGCATCTGAGGTTGCATGTTGGCCATGGCAACTTTACATTTATCCAGATCTTTCTTAATAGCCTCTTCTGACGCATCCAACAGAGATTTAGTATCAATGGCTTCATCCACCAACCCTAGAAAAAAAAATTAAACACATTAATACTCCAGTTTCACCTGTGGAAAGGGAAATTTTGTATTCCAGAGACTGTTCACAGCCTGAAAAGTAAGTATTTCCAAACTGGAGGGTGGGGAGGGGTGAAAGGGGGACATGGATATCAGACCAGATGTATTACTGCAGTTTTACTTCTGATCATGTGGTACCTCTGTCACAGTATCCGTGGTCAGGTTCACTCCCACTAATGACACCCCAATCTCTTGCGCATCTGCCACGGAATGTTGCTTACACAGTTGATGCAGTAGAGACTCCTTCCTCCCACCAAATGTCTTTTAAGGATATTCAGTACTTTTTGTACCTCTCCCATTCGTTTAAAGTGGAAATATCCCTCTGGCTGTGCTTTCACTTAAGGGTGATATGTAGTGACAAGGCAGTAAGATTTAAGATGCCACAATTTAATTATGGGGATGGAGAAGGAGGTAGTACACAGTCAGGAGATCAGCAGACCAGGGCAAAGGATCTACACTTTGGAAGGACTGATCCATTCAAGTGTCTCAGCAAGATTTAGCTGGTCAGTAGCTTTGTTTTATTCACTGCTTTCATCAACCTCTTAAATCATTTTGAACACGTTTTCTTACCCCCACTTAATTATCAGTCCTCATTCAACAAGCCAGGATTATGCAGAAAGAACCCTCAAGTTGCTACAGTAATATATTGCTAGAGCAACAATCACAATAAAAAGTAGCAGCATTCTCTTTTTCCCCACAAAAATACTAAAGCCAAATTTGCTCTCCTACAGCTCAAAATTAACACATATTAAGCAAGCTATTTTTTATGCTGTAACTCTACACATATTTTTGGAGTCAGAGAGCACATTCCAACTTGAATTTATTTTTAATCAGTAATTTTGCACGTTTCATCACTCCAAAACAAATGGGGAAAAAATCATCTATACCAGCCACTTAGCCACAAGTATAATCTTCAACAAAAATGCTTACTTTACCTGTCATCTTTTCTATATTATCAATCCATTGGTTTTTCATGGTCTCAAAATGTTCACAAGCAGCTTGATTTCCAGGATTTCTCAGGAGGATACGAGCAGCTGATACTACCTGCCAATGGAAAACACTTGTAATTATGGAAGTATCAGTACATAACAACATCACGCATGTCCTTGAAAATGCATTGTTTTTTTCAGGACTGGATGTATAGCTCCCCATTTGGAATACTCATTAATTGTGGTTCATTAATTCTAGCCAACTAGCTGCTTGAAGATTTAGAATACTTCTGGAATTTGTTGACACAAATACTTTCTTTCCCAGAACTTCAATTCCATGCTAATATATCTTGAAAACATTTCTTGAAAGCACTAAAGTACAACATTTATTATTCTACCAAAATTTTAGATGGAAGTTTAGTTGGGGAAAAAAATTCACAAAAGACATTTTTTCCACTTACATATTTTACTAAGCCTCAAAGTAATTTTGTTTCAAGGATAAGTCTCTAACACTTCTGTCCTAGAGTTGAAGAGTAAGACACATTTAATCAGTTTGTTCTATGTGGTGTCACCTACACAAATATTTGCCATTCTCCTTTTGAGGGTGTCAGCACTACACTTCTTGCTGGAATTAACATCTTCCTCCAATAGCAGAAGCATAAAGAAAATTCCAAGAAGTCCCCCCCAGCCCTTGGAGAGGAAGGAAGCAAACCTGTGGGGTAAGCTCCCGCGCGGATTTCACCGTTGCCTGGATTCCTTCCACCGTAGTTTTATTGGCAGTTCCAACTGCAGCTGCTTTTTCAGCCGTAGCTCCCAGCCTGGCAGCGTGGTTCTCAAAGTTTGCTGCTCTTTCATCAAACACCTGCTTGGCAGAAGAGAAAACCCATTGGAAAAGCCTAACTTTCCTACCAGAACACACAGTTCCTTCCAAGTGTCAAGCACCAGACACCTGGTTTAACCAAAGTTAATTTACCTCCTGCGAGGATGCAAGAGGACACAAAAGCTTTGAAGCTGTTTTATTTTTTTTAATCTTTACATTACTGGGCTTTCTTCTTTACTAACTCATTTGGGCAACAAAGGATACTACCACATTTTATAGCTTTGAGGCATTAAGTACGCTAATTCCTGACAGCTACTGCTGTAACAAATACTGCTTTAGCTCATAGGGATTAATCTTCAAACTCATACCCCAGAAGTAACTATATTTGGAAGATAAATAGGGGTTTTAGTCTAAAAATTGAAGTTTCATACCAGAAAAAAAAAAAAAAACAAAAAAAACAGTCCTTAGTTATTCAAGGCAGAGAATACTTTGACAAAAAACTATCCTGTCATAAAGCTAAGTTCCCCAAGGCCTGGGGAATCATTTTGATCACGTTCAAATCATCTTGCCAAGCAGAGCTGCCAGACACAGAGTTTTAGATACTTCACATGCAGCCAGTAGCTTTGAAGTACAGGAAACATTATCCAGCAAGAGAAGAGGTTAAATCTGTTGATTGATCACAAATTGGACTATTTTAATCAGCTCATATAATGTTGAGATATACAATCCACTAACTAGTGTGTCAGTGACTTTTGCACAATAATTTTTAGCATTTTTTTTTATACCATAAACATGGTATAAACATCACCGGGAAAATCTTTGCCATTTATTGAAGTCAGAGACAACATAGACAACATAGTTTCTAGGAATATACAGCCCAATTTGCAGTCTCCAAGAGTACAGAGAGATCTGCATGGGGATCCTTATGTTGTCAGAATAGATAAGCACATATGACAAGACTGAGAAAAAACTACTGATTCATTTTTCTAAATACAAATTCAGGTAAAATTAAACAATAACTGAAGCTTCCCATGGGAAAAAGACCAGCTGGGTATACTTGCCTCATCTCTATTGGGAGCATCAGGGGGAGCAGTGGCTGCTACTGCTAATAATTTAATAGGAGTTGTGGTGTCACTAAAAACGTCAGAAACCTCCTGGGTCATTGCCTCTTGCATTCGTGCTTTAAGATCCTTTAAAAAAAAAAAAAAAAAAAGGAAAAATTATTAGCATAAGATACAGGAATATTAAGTTCATAGGGATTCAAATCCCATAAAACCTCTTCTTGGGAAAAAAAAAATAAAGCCCATTACAATAACAGCCTTGAAAATAAAATGATCTTAAAAGCATGGTCAATGAATCACTCTTCACATCATTTGAAATACAAGCAGCTTACAGACCACTTCTTGAGGCAGCATCAGAAGCTACGAACAGCACAATTTGAGACCTTGCCCCTCAAATTTGCAGTGCTAGCATGCTATTTTCTTTTAAAATGAGATTTCAGTTCTACTTGTAAATTGTTTATTTGGAATCAATCCCTACACAGCATGTTCTCAAGGCCTTTGTAGAAAGGTTTTTAACATCTCAGCTAAACCAAGCTTCTTGCTGCAGTTTTGTTTTTATTGATGCCTCCAACGCAGAAGCACTTTATCAGAGGAGAAGAAATGCCACGTGTTCCACTGCACGAGAGCAGAGTCTTACCTTCAGCGAGTCCTGCAGCTGAGCAGCAATTGCCCTGGCCTGAGGAGATTCTCCCTCCCCTCTCGCTGCCAGATCTGCTAGCTGGGCAGCCAGCTGGTCTACACGGTCACATTTGGCCAGCAGGTCTTGACGGTAAGGTCCCATCATGACATTGGCTAAACGGCGACCTTCTGCCACCAGACCTCGGATGGCTGCCTGCCCTACAGTGGGAGAAGTCACACTGCATTAATGGAGTGTGGAACAAAACACTGAAACCATAAATCAGAGGCACCACGAAGAAAGTGACACTTTAGAATCCTTGAGTTTTCAAAAACACCTTTTTAGGTAGTGGAAAGGATCTTCTGTAGTTTATCACTGACTAACTGCAGTTCAGACCTATGGAGGAATTAAACATTTTAAGGCAACTTTGGCTAAATATGCATCCTTTTGAACTAGGGTGGCCTGAGAGAAGTTCACCAGTACAGCTGTCAGGTAATTCCTACATAACTGATTTGTTGACTCCAAAAGAAGTCACTTAAAAATTCCAAGTACTGCAATTTATCTTCTATTATCTATTTATCTATTTTCAAATTATCGTAGCACTGAAAATATCATCCTAAATTCTACCAGAAGTGCTGTCTGGACAGAAGAGCGCACATACCTGATTTATATTGTTAATATACCTCTCCTATAAGCACCCTGCCAAGTGCCAATGCAAGCAAAAGACATTTAAATGAAAAAATAAATAAATTATACAATGACATCATCTTACAACTAGAATTTTTTTTTATTAAACTAGAAACATTCAAGTTACAGGACATGCCACATCTTGCATTCTACACTCATTTTTGTCACATGTATTACTCCAGCAATTGATTCAATTCCATAGTATATATCCAGTGTTGAGAAACTTCAGTTCCTCCAACAAGCTTTCACTTGTACACAAGCCTCATGATTAACTAGGCACTTACTTAGACTTCAAGAGGGGTTTAGGTTTCTTTGTTTCTTTTCAATTAGAAATAATAAAAATTAACTTTAGGATTTGTACTTTTTTAAGCCAACAGCCTCACAATTTACTATGTTCAAGTGAAACATCAAAATTAGGAAGGTTTTCAGCCACTGCCAAAACATCTCATGAGACCTATCCACTGCCTTCTTGGTCATCTCATTCTGTGTGCAATTTGCCTATCTTTCTAGTGACAGATTCTAGTGTCAAAACATGGAACTCCACTAATCTGTTTAAAATATTGCATATAAATTTGCACTTCACAACTGTCCAAACTATAAACATGACTAAATCTTTACTTCAAGGATCTGTCATTGGATATTCACACAACAGAAGTTATCTTGACAGACAGAGAAAGGTGTGAGAAAGAGGTATTAAAGATTTGCAGTTTCCACTCATTATCAGTTGCACTGCTCAGATCTAACTGCTGTGGAAAAAAACCCACCAAATCCAGTTCTCAAGCTTCACCCACCTACTTGCAATAGCATCAGAAGCAGCTAAACAAGAGGTTTCAGAAGTTGTTTACAATAAGCTCTCCATAGTGCAACTCCTGTGGTGATTGTCTTTTTTATTTTTGTTTTTAAAACCCTTAAAAAAAAAAAAAAAAAAAGGAAAAATTATTAGCATAAGATACAGGAATATTAAGTTCATAGGGATTCAAATCCCATAAAACCTCTTCTTGGGAAAAAAAAAATAAAGCCCATTACAATAACAGCCTTGAAAATAAAATGATCTTAAAAGCATGGTCAATGAATCACTCTTCACATCATTTGAAATACAAGCAGCTTACAGACCACTTCTTGAGGCAGCATCAGAAGCTACGAACAGCACAATTTGAGACCTTGCCCCTCAAATTTGCAGTGCTAGCATGCTATTTTCTTTTAAAATGAGATTTCAGTTCTACTTGTAAATTGTTTATTTGGAATCAATCCCTACACAGCATGTTCTCAAGGCCTTTGTAGAAAGGTTTTTAACATCTCAGCTCAACCAAATTTCTTGCTGCAGTTTTGTTTTTATTGATGCCTCCAACGCAGAAGCACTTTATCAGAGAAGAAGAAATGCCATGTGTTCCACTGCACGAGAGCAGAGCCTTACCTTCAGCGAGTCCTGAAGCTGAGCAGCAATTGCCCTGGCCTGAGGAGATTCTCCCTCCCCTCTCGCTGCCAGATCTGCTAGCTGGGCAGCCAGCTGGTCTACACGGTCACATTTGGCCAGCAGGTCTTGACGGTAAGGTCCCATCATGACATTGGCTAAACGGCGACCTTCTGCCACCAGACCTCGGATGGCTGCCTGCCCTACAGTGGGAGAAGTCACACTGCATTAATGGAGTGTGGAACAAAACACTGAAACCATAAATCAGAGGCACCACGAAGAAAGTGACACTTTAGAATCCTTGAGTTTTCAAAAACACCTTTTTAGGTAGTGGAAAGGATCTTCTGTAGTTTATCACTGACTAACTGCAGTTCAGACCTATGGAGGAATTAAACATTTTAAGGCAACTTTGGCTAAATATGCATCCTTTTGAACTAGGGTGGCCTGAGAGAAGTTCACCAGTACAGCTGTCAGGTAATTCCTACATAACTGATTTGTTGACTCCAAAAGAAGTCACTTAAAAATTCCAAGTACTGCAATTTATCTTCTATTATCTATTTATCTATTTTCAAATTATCGTAGCACTGAAAATATCATCCTAAATTCTACCAGAAGTGCTGTCTGGACAGAAGAGTTATCTATTTTCAAATTATAGCACTGAAAATATCATCCCAAGTTCTACCAGAAGTGCTGTCTGGACAGAAGAGCGCACATACCTGATTTATATTGTTAATATACCTCTCCTATAAGCACCCTGCCAAGTGCCAATGCAAGCAAAAGACATTTAAATGAAAAAATAAATAAATTATACAATGACATCATCTTACAACTAGAATTTTTTTTTATTAAACTAGAAACATTCAAGTTACAGGACATGCCACATCTTGCATTCTACACTCATTTTTGTCACATGTATTACTCCAGCAATTGATTCAATTCCATAGTATATATCCAGTGTTGAGAAACTTCAGTTCCTCCAACAAGCTTTCACTTGTACACAAGCCTCATGATTAACTAGGCACTTACTTAGACTTCAAGAGGGGTTTAGGTTTCTTTGTTTCTTTTCAATTAGAAATAATAAAAATTAACTTTAGGATTTGTACTTTTTTAAGCCAACAGCCTCACAATTTACTATGTTCAAGTGAAACATCAAAATTAGGAAGGTTTTCAGCCACTGCCAAAACATCTCATGAGACCTATCCACTGCCTTCTTGGTCATCTCATTCTGTGTGCAATTTGCCTATCTTTCTAGTGACAGATTCTAGTGTCAAAACATGGAACTCCACTAATCTGTTTAAAATATTGCATATAAATTTGCACTTCACAACTGTCCAAACTATAAACATGACTAAATCTTTACTTCAAGGATCTGTCATTGGATATTCACACAACAGAAGTTATCTTGACAGACAGAGAAAGGTGTGAGAAAGAGGTATTAAAGATTTGCAGTTTCCACTCGTTATCAGTTGCACTGCTCAGATCTAACTGCTGTGGAAAAAAACCCACCAAATCCAGTTCTCAAGCTTCACCCACCTACTTGCAATAGCATCAAAAGCAGCTAAACAAGAGATTTCAGAAGTTGTTTACAATAAGCTCTCCATAGTGCAACTTCTGAACCATAGTTACGTGCCCTCTGAGAGCACGCTTGGATTCTCACATCACCCTCCTCTTTGATTAAGTAGCCTTCTCCTCAGATAACCCAGAATTCACCCACCTACTTGCAATAGCATCAAAAGCAGCTAAACAAGAGATTTCAGAAGTTGTTTACAATAAGCTCTCCATAGTGCAACTTCTGAACCATAGTTACGTGCCCTCTGAGAGCACGCTTGGATTCTCACATCACCCTCCTCTTTGATTAAGTAGCCTTCTCCTCAGATAACCCAGAAACCACACAAGAGGTGATATTTTTAGGTCATGTTTATGAATGTTTTTCTCCTCTCCGAAGGACTGACTTCCTCAATTTGCTGGAGTAGGTATAAATTCAAATTTGACATACTATATTTGCATGTTAATAAGAGCGAGGAGCAGCCTGAAGTTTCTCTTGTTCTACACCACACGTTCTCCTGTTCTTTGCTGAATTTGTTGAGTTTCCACACTGCAGTTTCAGTCATAAAAATGAGTAACAAGTTTAACCATAAAACTCTGGGGGGAAGAGCACGCAGAAACACTTACCTACTCCCCGATCAGCAACCGTAGGGTTGTCTATCCACCTCTGAGCTTGCTCAATCTTGCCCTCCAGATGGACGGCTGCTTTCACTGGCCTAGTGTTTGCTACAGCCCTGTTGGTTTTGGACTGTAAATTCTGGAGTGATGTAGCTATCTGCTTCGCCAACGCACGGGCCTCAGGAGAGTCACCTTTCCCACTAAAGAATAAAGAAATTATAGTCACGTAGAGATCATTTACAGCTTAGTCCCAAATTCAGCAGGAAGACACAAGGAAAGGTACTTCATCTTTGTAAATAAGGTTAAATTTGACACTTGAGTCTCAGAGCAAATAATGCAGATCTGTCATCCAGAAACCCTCGCTCTTCTCTGCTGTGGTACCTGGATGCTACATGTGTTCAACACAGCACTGGGGAGGGGGAAAACACGGTGCTGTCACTGATAACGTGATGCATGACACCAATTTCTCATCTCCATGGCTGCCTTATGAGCAACTCCAATAATGCCACATAGGTTACAAGCAGAAAAGTAAGCAGCAACAGGCCCAAGGCTATACATAAACTGGAAAAGCAGAAGCACATCAAGACCTGCAGCAGTTAAACATCAAGAAAAACTGGACTAAAGTTTCTAACTAATGAAGAAAGAGAACTATTTATCTCCCTATTGCAACCGGCCACAGATGAAGATCAGTTTATACAATAAGCATTTCTCCACTTCCATTCTAAAGCATCCTCTTTGCAAAACTGATATAGAAATATAATTTCTGAAAGTCTTATCTTTCATACAGTTTGTGGCTACACAGTGCTTGGAGCACTGATGCTGCTTGAAGTGGCAGGTATTTCACCTTCCTGTTCAGCAAACTGCTAAGCAATAAACAGGGATGACATTTGTCTGTATAAACAAACTTAAATTTCCCATCATCTCATTCCTTTGAAGTGCTTTGACAGGACAAAGCAGCTCACTTTTGGCTTCAGTTTGCCTCTCAATTATTCCATAGGCAGTAGAAAGAAAATACAGCTCTAGTTACTCTAGTGGGTGGGGTCTTTTTGGTTGGTTTTGGCAGGGGGGTTTGGGGGGTTTTTTTGAGGAAGATAGCACAAGTTGGTCTTTTGGATACAAATAACTATGTTGAAGAATTAAAAAGGATACCATATTTTATAAATTAAATTTTTTAAAGGATGCTAAAAAGTTAGCTCCTTCCTTCCCCCACGGAACAGAACAATTCTTTGTATTCAATTTTTACTAAATGCAGCACAGAAACTCAGAAGATGTCCATTCCCAGCTCTTGGAGAGGAATATATTCCCCAATTAATCATCAATATTCTGATTTTGCTCAGCCCTTTGAACCGCAAATGAAAGTCATTCAAATAAATGAATGGTGATAAAACTAATACATACTGTCGTCGCAGCTCTGACAGTTTGGCTGTCAAAGCAGAGATCTCCCCCAGGGAACGCAGGATATCATCTCTTTCTTTAGGCTCCTCACATAATTCTGCAACTTTCCTTGCTTCAGCCATAATTCCCCGAATGTGTTCTTCTCCTTCACTGCCCCCATTAGGATCCGCGAGCCAATTCTTAATAGAAAAAGGTTGTGTATGAGTGAACACAAATAGAAATATTATTTCTATAGAGACTTTTAAATACCAATGCAGCTTTCCAAACTGTATTTAACAGAAAATACTTCTGAAAAGCAGTTTCTGTTTATTAGATAGCATGAAGTTGTTCTATTGTCTGGCAGATTTTCTGTTTTGAAACAGATGTCAAGCTAGATGAAATCTACCCTAAGATTTCACATTCTCTCACTCCCCAACATTTGCCAACAGTGTTTTCAGAAGTAAAATTTAACTAGTGGCTTTAGAGACTCATGATCTGGCTTTCAGAAAATAAAATAAAAACAGATGCTTTTGTGCACAGTGTGGCACTCTTTACAGAGCTCTTCCTGAAAGGTCTCACTATCAGTTCATTCTATATATTAATGTATATTTATATATATATAGTTATATACACATACACACTTTTAGATAAGTTATATAGAAGGTTTGTTATTTGATAACCATCACTGGGAATAGGCTGACCATTGAGGGAGACAGAGCTACAAAAATAAAGGATCAACTAACAGAAAAAGTAGTTTCATTAACATTGTTTTGCCTTTGTCATGAATATGAACTTCTAAATCCTGAACTTCACTCCCAAAACAGAACACACAGAAACGGCTCTGGTTTTACCCACAGGTAAATCTGTGCAGTCTGAAATTCCTCTACTCTTTTCTTTAATAAGATCAGTTTATGTCCAAATTTAGTGTGTTTCCTCATTTTCATTTCACAACCTTGAAATTTTTAGCAATGCTAAATAGAAAAAAAAATATGTTGTAAGCTGTAGCAAAACTCATAGTTCGTTATATACACATACACACATTTCGATAAGTTATATAGAAGGTTTGTTATTTTATAACCATCACTGGGAATAGGCTGTCCATTGAGGGAGACAGAGAGCTACAAAAATAAAAAATCAACTAACAGAAAAAGTAGTTTCATTAACATTGTTTTGCTTTTGTCATGAATATGAAATTCTAAATCCTGAACTTCACTCCCAAAACAGAACACACAGAAATGGCTCTGGTTTTACCCACAGGTAAATCTGTGCAGTCTGAAACTCCTCTACTCTTTTCTTTAATAAGATCAGTTTATGTCCAAATTTAGTGTGTTTCCTCATTTTCATTTCACAACCTTGAAATTTTTAGCAATGCTAAATATAAATGTTGTAAGCTGTAGCAAAACTCATAGTTCCATGTAAATGACCAAATTTAAGATTTTTCTAGGAAAAAGCAAGTACCCCCTACATGTTCTTCCTATACCAAGTAAGTCTGCGGTTCTGTGTAACTGCTCTAACAACAGGGATGTAATCACCTTCTGAAGTATCTATGAAATCATTAGTGGTACCTGAGCAGCATCAATCTTCTTGGCAATTGCCTGCTTGGAGTTGGTCATGGCCTCCAATTTGCGGGCTGCGTTTTTTCTGTTTTGAAACAGATGTCAAGCTAGATGAAATCTACCCTAAGATTTCACATTCTCTCACTCCCCAACATTTGCCAACAGTGTTTTCAGAAGTAAAATTTAACTAGTGGCTTTAGAGACTCATGATCTGGCTTTCAGAAAATAAAATAAAAACAGATGCTTTTGTGCACAGTGTGGCACTCTTTACAGAGCTCTTCCTGAAAGGTCTCACTATCAGTTCATTCTATATATTAATGTATATTTATATATATAGTTATATACACATACACACATTTCGATAAGTTATATAGAAGGTTTGTTATTTTATAACCATCACTGGGAATAGGCTGTCCATTGAGGGAGACAGAGAGCTACAAAAATAAAAAATCAACTAACAGAAAAAGTAGTTTCATTAACATTGTTTTGCTTTTGTCATGAATATGAAATTCTAAATCCTGAACTTCACTCCCAAAACAGAACACACAGAAATGGCTCTGGTTTTACCCACAGGTAAATCTGTGCAGTCTGAAATTCCTCTACTCTTTTCTTTAATAAGATCAGTTTATGTCCAAATTTAGTGTGTTTCCTCATTTTCATTTCACAACCTTGAAATTTTTAGCAATGCTAAATATAAATGTTGTAAGCTGTAGCAAAACTCATAGTTCCATGTAAATGACCAAATTTAAGATTTTTCTAGGAAAAAGCAAGTACCCCCTACATGTTCTTCCTATACCAAGTAAGTCTGCGGTTCTGTGTAACTGCTCTAACAACAGGGATGTAATCACCTTCTGAAGTATCTATGAAATCATTAGTGGTACCTGAGCAGCATCAATCTTCTTGGCAATTGCCTGCTTGGAGTTGGTCATGGCCTCCAATTTGCGGGCTGCGTTCTCCACTTTTGCAGTGAGCAAATCCAGCCCCTGGGACACCTGCTGTGCCTTCTGCATGGCCATCGGCGTCGCACCCTGGCCCCTGCCCGAGACAAAAACAGCAGCACAGGTTCAGCCCAGGACTGAACAGAGACTGCAAAAGCCATTTATGAGCATACCCAGCCCATTGCAAGAGATACAGTATTTAATCAGATTATTTTTGATTTTTTTTTCCTGAGAAAATAAAAGTAACTCAAGGAAGAACACCGCGACAGGAAGAGTTTAAAACTAAGTGCATATTTTCTTCTTTCCAGAATTTGACACTTAGCATCCTCAGAAGAATAAACATTTTTTTTAAGTGTCACAAAGTAAGGGTATTTGAGGACACAGTTCCACTAAAATACCCAGGATGAGACCTATTATCTCCTCGTTTATAGACTGCCACCAAGTCACTCGGAACCTGCAGGGGTTATGTCTCACCAGACTTAGGTGGGGACAGCAAGTCCGTAAGTGAAAATAAGACGTCTTAATTGCCTCGATCACATTGACAAAGTAGATTAAATGTTAAGGGCTATTGGTAAAACTTCTCGCAATGGTGAAAAGGATGCTAGCAATACACTTTTACAGACTGTACGACACAATTTGCAGCACTACCACTATTGGTTCAAATGCTTAGGAGTTCAAAGTTGGATAGAAAGATGACTTCACATACATATACCTGAGAACGCTGGGTTTGCATAAGGAATCTCATAATTCATTTCAAATCAACCTGTCTTCTGGAAAGCTTTTTGAGCATGTTAACTTCATCAAACCACTAACTTTAAAAACTCCACAGTAAGTGTAAGGATGACAAGCACGTTACTGGGACACTAAGGTGTATTTACAGAGAGCCAGGACAGAGTCTCAAGATGCCTTTTTTTATATCTTATTTCTCACAGGCTGAGTTGAAGTTATTTATATATTAAAAACAGCCAATAAATTAACTCATTTGTTTGTAAATCTTAGTCCTGTCTCTTCCTCCACCTCCAAAAATTTCAAACAACACGAAGCTGACACCAGCCACCACTTTACATGAAGATTAAGAGTTTTGCCTAATTTCTAATGTTCTGTGCAAAAACCAGTGCAAACATACTCTTACATTCTCTCAGGTCAATCAGCTGGAAATTAAATTGAAAATAAACTAAAACCACTTCTCATCCACTACCACTATTACAGCTAATGTACATCTCTTCTTTATGTAAGTGAAAATAAGACTATTACAGCTAATGTACATCTCTTCTTTAATGACAATATAACCAGTAATTCTCAATTTTGGCCAACATTCCAATAAACACCTAAAAACTAGAGTATCTGTGTTTCTTACAGGCATGGGGGTATATGATCTTTGGAGGAGAGAGTTAACAGTTTAAAATTACATTTCTGCCTAATTTGGAGGAAGGTTGTGCTTGACATTTAACAAACTCCACATTATCTACTTAAGCAATTTTGTTCATCATGTTATATAATTAAGATTCCACATAATAAAACATATTATTCTTATCAGAAGATAATGAAGTAAGAAAGGCAAATAATGACAATATAACCAGTAAGTCTGAATTTTGGCCAACATTCCAATAAACACCTAAAAACTAGAGTATCTGTGTTTCTTACAGGCATGGGGGTATATGATCTTTGGAGGAGAGAGTTAACAGTTTAAAATTACATTTCTGCCTAATTTGGAGGAAGGTTGTGCTTGACATTTAACAAACTCCACATTATCTACTTAAGCAATTTTGTTCATCATGTTATATAATTAAGATTCCACATAATAAAACATATTATTCTTATCAGAAGATAATGAAGTAAGAAAGGCAAAAATACAGCTGCTGGCCTGCTCTCCTACCAGTTAGGGAGTGACAACTGAAAGTTCAGAAAAACTGGTTTAATAGTACTGGAAAATTGTCCCTGAAGGGTAGCAGATTTACCTGGCTCTGAGGTCAGCCAGCTGGTCAGTCATCTGGCCCAGCGTTTTGCACGTTCCCAGAATCTCTCTGCGTTCCTTGCCCGCACACAGTTCTCCTGCTTTTCCAGCTTCATCCAGGATCTGCCTTATTGCTTGCTCACCAGCATCCCCTGAGGGGCAGAGCAGTCAGTAAAACCAACAGGACATGTACAAGTAAACTGCTAATCCCATCACGCTTAAATATTACTGTTAGGCAAATCTAAAGTTATACAAAAATAAAAAACACAGAAGGAGGAACTTTAAGTATTAGCAACCATTGCAGTTAAATACTGCTGAATTTATGGGGTTTTGTTTTTACTAGTGCAGAAAAAACACATATGTTATATAGACTTTGTTATTTAGACAAGTGAAAAAAACCCCAAATCTTTCCAGATCATTAGACACAACTTGTTCTATCTCAGTATCCAAAGAAAGGAATAAATACAGGCTCCTTCTGATTGATCCACCACATATGGGTTATTAATGCTTAAAGGCAATTTTGTCTTACACAACAGAATTATTCAGACCTTTAAAAATCAAAATACTCTGTGCTGTTATTTTTATTTTTTTTTAATATTACCTGGAGGTGCATTTGGATCTCTCAGCCAACCTTTTGCCTGGTTCATCTTTGAATCTATTAAGGCTAATGCTCTTTTCATGGCTTCAGTGTCCTTTAAAAAAAAAGAGAAAATACTAAAATGATTCTCAAAAAACCAAACCATCAATAGTCAACACAGCCAAAGCAGACAGAAGTTCTATAAAGCACAGTCTACTTACAGAAACACACCCATATAAGCAGCTCAAAACCCATTTTTCAAACTAGCAGGTCATAATTATTTATTTCCAATTAAGACAGACATTTTCATTTCACTCAAAATGCAGAAAATATGCATGCAATTTTAGTGATTTTTCTATTCCTTTATTTACTAGTGGTTTAATATTTAAATAATATTTAAATAAGCACACATCCTGGAGTTAGTTCCGGGTTTTTTTCCTTGGTGTACATCAGGGCACATAGAAAAGTTGTAACAATGAGATTCAAGTAAACTTTTCAAAAATGGAAATTGGCCAGTGAATTTTATTTCTTACTTCTGTATAAGAGGTTTCATATCTGCATTTTTCACCTGCTCTGCTGCTTGAAGTCAAACAGCTGCTACTTGCAGAAAAACAGACTGCCAGCTAATTCCTGGAATTCTCAACTACAGAGTTTAATGTTTTCAGAGAAAATAAACGTGGTCACATGCAGTTGTTTTATACTCAAAACTTCTCTGCCAGGAGCATCAGAAAGGTGCTTCTTTGACTGTTATGCTGCTATTATCCAACACCTCTTTGACTAGAGGAGACAAAACCATCCAGTCCTCATTTCTCTGCATAGTGTTAATTGTTCATATGTCATCTCTCCACTAGAGGCCAGAAGTTTTCTATCTTATAAAAAAAAGACAGTGAAAAAAAAGTAACCAGTACCTTAAGTAGAAAGTTGGGGAAAAGCCAAAATAGCTTTTTACCACGCATGTCAGGGAAATAATTTGAAATGCATCTAATATCCTGTGATTAGTATACAGATGATGATAAGCCTGGCTCTCATGCTATTAACTGAATTGGGACTGTCCACGTCCAGCTTTTATGAAGAGGAGCCTACTAACATCAAAGGTCAGTATGTGGTAGAGCATGTGATATCCTGACAACACTCAAGAACTGCCACATTTCTGTGGAGTTGTTCATTCTCCACGCTTAGTCTCCTACATACATCACCATAAACCTTTTGGCATTTAAGCCAGCTTTATTCAGGCATGTTGGGCCATCAGCTACTCATGAAGTGTTACACTATAATTCAGCAACCAGCTTTCTGAAAGGTCATGCCACACACTGCTGGGTAGTTTTAAGGGCTCTCGAATCACAGGCTGAGAGAAGGCACCAAAAGCAGAATCATTCTCACCTGGATGATTTGTTCTCAAATAGAGAAACTGGGTCTCAGAGGTTAGATCAGGACTTGTTTGAAAAAATTAGGATGCGCAGCCACAGGAGGGGGGTGGGCACACTCTTTTAAAAGCCATCCTGTTTATAGCTTGAGAATTGTGCATTTAATATATGACAAGACACAAATAAATAATCACTTAAGTATTCAATTGCATATAAAAACCTTACTAGCTGTGAAGGTCCTGGTGTTACACTTGTCCCTTGTTTTATACACGGGCTGAAACTACTGCAGTTTGGCATGAATGGCCTGCTACAGGCCTGCCTACCCATAAATAACGTCAGACAAAGAACAAACTGAATTTTTAACAAGGCAACAGATGTTGCCTAGCCTGTTGATGAGGAGATAGGTGTGGGATAGCTGAGGAAAGGGGAGCCTTGGGAAAACTGTCTTCGCCCCTCCCTTCGTACCAACACAAGCTTTTTGTGTTGTCTCAGCTGCCTGCAGAGTTGCAGCCTCAGCAAAACGATACAGAAGCCTCGCATCTAAAGTCTTATATCAGGGGAGAAAAATCAGGGGTATTTTAGCCTTTACACTCATGATTTTGTACTTGCCAGCACTACCCAAGCAATAGCAGGCCCCATCTCTCCTATCACAGAACCAAACTGCTCCTCAGCGTAAGTCTCACTGTCCTGTGTGGCTCCACGCTCAGGTTTGCAAAATACTGTCCCCTTTCCTATTTAAAAAAAAAATTGGTGCAATCCTGGTGTAGGATTGAAGTTTTCCAGGACAACGGCGTATTTCCCGCCGTCACAGCTCAAGCTGCCACAGCAAGGAAACCCTCTCAGCTTTAGCCTGATAAGGAGTTTTCATTGCAAGGAGATGAGTAATTTTTAAATAGGAAATTAAAACAACATCCTTAATTAGGTCTGTTGGTACTGCGCTTTCGTTTCTGCCACAGTTGTGTCTGGGTCAGATACTTGGCAAGTGACAAAGGTGCAGCAATCCTGAAATGTCTGGACTTATCCCCCAAAGTAGAAATATTCCATCTAAACAAAACAAAGCCACTCACACAAGGTCTTACTACTTGAAAGTGTCTTTGTATTCCTGATTTCTGGAGCTGTTTAAATGCCTTGTTCCATTCTAAACAGCTAAATATGTTTAAAATCTTACTCTTTGGGGTTTGCCAGCAGAATATCAGTTGCAAGCAAGAAAAGAAAAAAAATCCTACAGCTATATCCTGCAGAAAGGTTTCCTGTAGAGTAGTTTTATCAGCAAAAAAGGATTTTTTCCCTCCTCTCCCCACAGTTCCACTGTTGGCAAAAGGAATTTCATTAACAGAAGCAGCACTATTACCTTTTCAGAAGAGATAAACAACTTAAGTTAATTATATTAAACAACTAGGGCAAAGCTGTCTGAAGGGAAAAGACCAAGTTGGCTTTTTGCATATCACTTTGTAAAGCAGATGAGCATTTATTCCAGATACCTTTATGCATCACTTCTGCCACTACCAAGAACTTTGATATTATTCATGGAGCAGGTGGTATTGGCACTGCTTTGAAAAGGAGCATCATAAATCCTACACAATCCCTTGTTGAATGTAACACACAACCTCTGACTCAATAAAGTGGTGTAGTCTGGCGATATCTGCATTTCATTACCAAAGAAGGGAATGTTGAAGGAAATAGGCAAAGCCAGCTTTCTGGCAGAGTCAATAGCTTAGTCACCACCCAGGGTTCAACCCTGCAAGATACTTCTCAGCTTCCTACAACTTTTAACTCCCTCCATTTCTGTGGAAATGGAAGATGTTTAGAATTGAGTATTACTTCCAAGTTTATTCAAAAATAAACGTTAGGAATATACAAGAGAAAACTAAACTCCTCCATAAAAGGTACAAAGCTATGAATGGAAGAAATAAATACAGATTGTTTTCAAGATTTTGTCAGAGATCAGTCTCTGCTCAGTATTTCAAGTATTTTTAAAAATCCAGTGGTGGTGTGAGCAGAGCTTATTGCAATCCAGTAACATGCATTTCGGAGTCCAGAAAGACCAACAAAATTGTTTACAAAGAAGTCTATGAGTCTGGCTCCATACATTTGTTCATTCTCCACTATGTCTAGGTGGATTTTGTGATGCTACAACTTATAAATAATTCAAAAAAGAATAATAAACGTAAAATAAACTCCAACATCAGCAGCAGCATGTACTACACAGTTAAAAAGTCAAGCCTGTGCATCCCCAAACACACCTTACTTTGCTTCAGAAAAGCATGGGGAAAATATCTTCCCCTTGACCATCAGGCACAAAACGCACACAACAGTTATCTCATATAGAAATAAAGAGTTCCTCCCTCTCCCCTCCAGAAAAATAATAAATCAACATTAATGGATGTATATACAAATACAGGAAAAGGTCTATAATATGTGACCATTAGCAAACTAGCTCCTGCTTCTGCATTTTTCAACTCAGATTCTTTGTGGTAACTGTTTGGGCCAGTGCTACAGTTCCAAAGCTTCTGTGTACCTTCATTCAAAATATAAATAAAATTTAAAAGTTCTCAACTTGGAACAGAAAAATATTTTGATGATACTAGTCCACACAAAATATTTATGCATTACACATAATGACCAATATTTTCCCTTTGGAAATACTGTTAATACGGCAACTATTTTCTTAATAAAATTCTTTATTAATCTGCCTCCCAAGGAAGAGAAGTAATAATTTCCTACGGCTAAATTGCCAACTTCTTGCAAGAGTCATTTTTTCTACCACAAAAAAACCTGCATTTGTATTTTGTAAAATACAGGAATGCTTACATCAAAAAATAAAACAGAATTGAAAAAATGCAAATACAGAATTGAAATTTGAGGCCAAGACCTGAAGAAGACAAATCATTTGAACTGAAGGAAGGCTGCTGGTGAAATACTACGGGATGGACAAAATTCCTGACTTAAGAAAGCTTTCTGGGCATGCAGAAAGCTTGTTCCTGCATGACTGGGCCCTTTATTTGTAGCTACAGTCACTGGTAACATCAATTAACACAAAAGCATTCAGCAAGAATGTGCTCTAAGATCTTGGGCTAACTCAGACTCAGAGAGACAGTCTTAATGCAGTTCAGCTTGCAATTCCCATTCTCTTAGTGAAAGCCAATTCCACATGTGGCTGGACAGGGCTAGTAAGTTCCTTGTAAATATTTCGTGTGTATAGACATGAGTACGGTGTCACAGCTGGCACACAGATAAGAAGTTGCACAGCACACAGTCTGCACACAGCACAAAATCCCACATACATGCTTGGTTTTTTTGGGTTTTAGTACAAGGCCAAGGTGGAGGGTGTGGAAGAAAGCTTACCTTCTAAAGGTGAGAAAAGGGTAAGAAACAGGAGAACAAAAACAAAGATGCATAAAGTAGTCATAATAAGGAAGTGATAGTGACAAAATAACTCAAAAGGCAAACTAAGGGTCAAGTGCCAAACAATATAGGCCAAAGTGATTTTAATGCCTACATTACATCAATGTTAGATTCTCTGCAAGATTTCATTTGTTAATAAGTCTGGCTTCAGGTCTCAATATTTTCTTTAAATACATTTATAGTTACTTGTTGCTCATAGCACTAACCGTTGAAAAAAAAAAACAACATCCCTTCAGCAATTTACTTCCAGGCACTCAAAAAAAAAAGTGGCAGGAATTTCAGTTATGCAGTTCCACTTATTTGTCAGCCCACAATAACACTTTTACAACTCTGTCAGACCTGCTTTATGGTCTGCTAGATATGTCAGTATCCTCTGCAACTATCACTTAAGAGCATCACTTCACTCCAGGTGAGTGGCTGCGGTGACTGGCACAGCTGAACTCCGAGCTGTAAGGAACCAACGCCGTCCACACAACAGCTTCACAGACATCACATTTATCCAGAAGAGCTGCCCAATCTAATGTGCATTTCTTTGAGACAAGGCAAAAACTTGAAATTTACTCCCACATCCAGACTAAAAATGGTGCAGGGGGAAAAGGAGGAAGCACTCAAGGAGAGATTCCCCCAAATTGACCAAAACTTTTCAACTTCAGGCTTTTTGCACCAGGAATATGCCAGCAACCTGTCTTTTCTAGTAGTACGTCAGGTAATCTTACTGATGAACACTTAGCTACAAGACCAGCTTGATGTATAAAACAATAGCTTTTTATCAAACTTTCCTCTGTCACATATGACTATGTAGCCATTGTGCCACCTGCAAATGCCACACTCCTTTGATTTACCTTATTGAGAGAAAGCTAATTTTGCAAGATACATTAATACAATCATCTCTGAAGATTTCTTTGACCTTGAAGAGACTACACAATGTGATTGCAAAGTGTTACAAAACTGATGCACAAATACATAATTCAACAGTCTCAAAACCCCAAGTTTATCAAGTGTAGGACACGGCAGATAAAAATTAGACTTCTATAGACAAATGTAGGTGTGAAACATACCTTGCTTGCCCAGGCATCTTCATCCCAGGAAGTGAGTTGTAATACACGGATTATTTCGTTTATCTCAGCACTCATTTTCTCTACTGTGAAATTGCGATTTTTCAACGCTTCTTCTATTCCCTGGGTTTTAGAATTTTTTGTGGTTACAAAAATCTTCATAGCTGTGAAAATACCATAGATTAGAAAAATGTAAATGCAAGATATGATCAATGCTCAAGGTGACCACCTACTGCATTAATACAGAGGCAGTACCTTTGATCTTGCATGGACCATTTTACCGCAAAGAGATTGTAGTTTTAATACAAGACCCAGAGTTATTTGCAACCAGTACAGAAGCAAGGTCAAGGCTGTTACTTTTAATAAACACAAGACATCGGAACTCCAGCTCAAAACAGAGAGCAATTCAGAGTGATATTAAAAATTAAAGCCGAAAATACCTGAAATAAGTACTGGCAATAACTCCTTCACAGTATTCATGGAGTTTACCAGCATAACCCTGTGTTCCTGATGAGTTAATTCCTGTTGTCTCTCATCAATCATTTTGGCCATCTTTGTCATTCCTAAAGATTAAAATAATTGAACAGTCATAAAGAAAGAAACATAATATTAAGTCTAATTTGCAATATTTGAGCTTTCTAAACAAGAGCAAAGTGTAATGACTCATGACAACTATATTAAAGTTTAAAATTTAATTTTTGTGTTAGCAGCTATTATTTAAAACACATTCCAGACGCGTCAGAGAAGCCACTGATTCAGAACCCAGCCACTATGCTAAGTAGAATGAAATCCTCAAAATTCTTGATTTAAAATCCCAACAATAAAATAGGAAAATACCTGAAATGACTACTTTAGGACATGAAGTCACCTCATGAACTCTGGAAACTAATTTACAAGGTTTTTGGTTTTTTTTTTAAACTTTTCTGTTAGGACTTAATCAAAGCCTTAATTGTGAATGATAGAAAACGGAAACATCAGGGTTTTGTTTGTTTGCCTACCAGGGTTTGTTCCATCAAAGTTCAAGAATTGTATCCATTTATACTTCAGTTCTGCTAGAAATATTTTAGTGCTCTAGAAGTGTGGAAAGAATTAAACTTTTTATCAGCGTAATGGGCTTCATAGCAGTGAATGCTTAATTACACAGCTTTTTCAATCTTTTGTTTTCCTCTCACTACTGCATGCTTACTTCTTTCATGTAATACAGTGTAGGAAAGGCACAGTACATATCACCTGTGTAGTACATATCATTTATCAACATCTTGACTCCTCTGCATTAAGAGAGAACATGAATCAGAAAATAATCCTCATTCACCCTCTAGTTTAAAACTTTTTCCAACAGACACTTTTGAAGCAACTGCTTCAAAACTTGGGTGAGGAAGGTGCTGGGGGGGGGCAGGAGGTAAAGGGTAGTGGAAAAGACTATACTTAGTATATTTATGATAGGCTGTAGCAATTCAAACCTGGCCCTAGATTCTTTGTGTATGTCACCAAATCCTCCATAGTCTCTACTACTTCCGCCACAGTCAGATATTCCAATATTCCTTTGCAGACACGGATGATTTTACGGACCTAAAAAAGGGACATTCCATCATTTATTAGATGAAGTTAAGTTACAGTTGAATTAGAAATGCAAGCCTATTATCAGAACAGAATAGGTATAGCATTTGCTAACACGACATACGGGCAATCACAAAGGTCTGGGATACTGATTAATTACCCACCACGCCATTACTCAAGAGTGCTGTATTGACAAAGACAATATTTAATCAGCATTCCACTGCTCAGAAATGCAAAATCCTACTTCCAGTGTTTTCACTTTGTATGATAAACGAAGAATAACTTTGAGAAAATTGGTTATAAGGAAGTGTGTTTAAGTTTGTTGGCATGCTTGAAGCTTTTCATTGCAATTTCATCAATAAAATAAATATTTAACTTAAATCACAAAGCAAAACTATATAGAAAGCAGACTCCAAGTTTTCAGAGGAAATATTATTCACCACACGGCTCTACATATGGATAAAACATTATCCAGCATTCCAGTGGGAAAGGTAGATCCAACATCTTAAGCTTTCCAGAAAAATCTGTGAAGACTGTACTTTATTTGCCTCCAGACATCTGCCTCAGTTTAACTTTTTCAGTTCATACTTGATTCCAAAACAGATCTCTGTCAGTTAATTTTCTAACCTCCTAAACCACATTATTTCTGACAACACCACATACAATTCGTATTGAAGAATGAGTTTATTAACATTTAGTTCCTGTCAACTGCACGCAGCGTTTAGTCCCTAGAACAGATCATAGTCTTGTCTCGATGGTAGTTTATCTTGAAAGTTAGTAAGATAGAGACATGTCACGTTTTGTATTTGTGAAGAGTCAGTCATTGCAGACTAATATTTCTCTTTTGGTTAACATGCAGTTGTCAGGGACTAGTTCAGCAAAGCATTAACCAGAAGTCAACTCATTTCCTGAACACTGGAGCAGGGACGTTAAAAGCTCTAACTTCCCTGTGATTCTGTCCTATGACACTTCATAGTATCTATTAAAAACCACTTAAAATAATGTGTAATTACAAGTTCCATGGAGAAATCCCATAGCATTCTCCTCATTTCAGAGGAACGTGCTAACAGTACTATGAGCTCATTAAATGAAACAAGGATGCCATGTTAAACTACTCAGAACAGCAGGAAGAGTAACACAATTTCATAGATTAGTAGATTGTCGCAAGGGTAAAATTTAGAATTAACCTCTGCATTCCTAACAGCATGAGCTTCATTTCCTCATAGTAGCATGATATTTGCTATTTAGAAACAAGCAAGACTCCCCATTCCCAGAAAAAGGATCACAAGAGTAAAATTTGTAACAAAGAAACACTCAATCATAAGACACTGAAACCCTCCTTTTTAAGTTTCCTTGCAAATCTGGCTCTTTTGAGGATGGACAAACAGCACCTCTGGGCCACTCGTCAGCTTGTGCAGCAGCCAAAAGCGTAGCAACTGTTACATCTATCAGAACACATCCTCTGGCTAACCAGCCAAGCAGTCCAAATTGTTATTAGCCCCTCTGCCCCATGGCCAATTAAAGGCCAGCTAATGAGTCAGACAGGTTAGGAAGTAGAGGCCAATTAAATTGCCACAGCTAATGAGTCAGACAGGTTAGGAAGTAGCCTAGGGCTTTTCAGTGAAGGGATACGGAGAACACAAGGATCAGTAACGGAGAACATAAGGATCAGTAACGGGTCTGATGAAAGGAATACAGAAAAGCATCAAGCAAGATGTAAGACAGGGCTGATGGGATCTGGCCTGAGGAATAATCACAGGCAACGCCTAAACATTATGTCATAAAAAGATGCTTTTAACAAAACAGAGCAACAAGCCTAAGCTCCTTCTGACAGAAAGGAATGCAAAATATGTTTCCAATCAAGCTAGAATGATCAAAACCATATTCATTTACTCAGTAGTTCAGATCAGCTAATTCAGTTAGATGCATATTTGAATTAGTAAGACTATTGCGCAGATACCTATGCCAGTCACGTTGGGATTCCTACCTCCGCTTCATCGAATGTCAGAAGCAAGTCTGAGGTTCCAGAAAGGATTCCTCTCGATCCATCAATTAGGTAGTCACGAGCTGGGACTGAATAAGGATCCGCTTGCAGCATCTGGGCTGCCCGAACCAGCTTGGTGCAGGCATTCTCCACTCTGTGGGAAGTCATCAGATAAAAACCTGATTAGTTACTGTCTGTTGTTTAAAAACCAAGAGTATTTATTTATTTTAACAAGAAAGTAAACACAGTTTTTCAGAAGTCATGCAATCTTCCTATGCAGGGAATGTTTGAAGTATCCCCTGTACAGCAGGCAATACAGTGTCGTTAAGGAGAGGTCCCAACACGGCAAAACACCTTCCATCCTTAATAACAAGGGCAGGGGACACATCAATTATTCTTTTAGGACTTCACAATCAAAGTAACTGCCAACCTTTGTCAGCCTCATATTTGCATTGTCATTCAAGAAGCAATTGCTATTAACAAATATTAAACGATGGCTACACATTAAGAGAAAAGAACATAGCATTAAGAAAATTAAGATTCCCCGATTCCCCTGCTCATTGAAGCTGTTGGTCCAGCTCTTCAGAGTCTGTTAACACTCAGGACAGAAATAGCATTTTAAGTACCCCCAAGATTTAGTGATAAGGTATGAATTTCAAATGCAGCTTGCAATTCCACACTTAAAAACAGAAAGGAACTTTTGCAAGATATTACAGTATGTAATTAGAGTAACACAGAAGTGACTACAATAAGCAAATGAGCTCTGAAATTAGGTTCCATCAGGCCATTTAACACAACGGTTTTAAAATATCAAGAACCAGAACATTGAACAGTTTATGGTTCTGTTCTCTTGTTGTAATTAGCTCATGACAGCTTAGAGAAATACAGAATTCAGACTTCACTTCCATGTTAGCTCTGCTGTTCCCGAGTGTAGTTATTGACTACTCTGATTGTGACTTCCCTCCATTCCCTCCTGTTTCTTTGACAGAAATTTAAGTGTAGGCTAATACACAGGCTCTATGCGAGTGCCACACGCTCATTTAAGTCACACGAGGTTCCAACAAACACTAAACCCTTTTATTACAGCAACACTATCTCTTATCACAACCTTCTCACGCTTGTCATACAGCCCAGTTTCTACCGATCAGTTGGACACCCTCTTTTATCATGTTTTCAGTTAAATACCATTGGAAAGTTACACAGGCCATTTTCTCCCCTACATTCTTAATGGTTACATCTAAATTTAACTATACTAGAAATAAGACACTAATTACAGGAAAAGATACTTTTTTTCTTCAGAAAGTAAAGTTTTCAGCTAATGGCTCCCTAGAGCAGATCAAATTGGGCCAGCTGACCTTGTCCTAACCTGCTCTGTAGTGAGACATCTGCTCAGCACATCAGATGGTGGTAATTCATAGCTGGGTAAGAAAATACAGGAGGATTTCAAGGCAGAAAGTGGGAATGGTCTGCTCATTACTATGCAACGTACTTAGTTGTATTATCAAAGTCAACTGACTTCACTAAATTAGATTTCCGCGCTCGCTTCTCAAATTTATTCTTTTCAGCTCTGCCAAGAAAAGGATTAAACAAATCACCTATTCAGCCAGCTCAGAGCTATGGGCTCAGAAATACTTCATTTCCTACAGTTCAATTTCATGGTCATCTGTTTAATACTAATGATTATCTCAAGGCTGGCTTTTTCATTTGTAATGAAAGGAATTAACATGAATGTGTATTACCCATAATTACCATAATTAACAAAAATAACATCTGAAAGATTCAAAGTTTTCTTTAGAGTTGAACCTCTGAAAGGTAAACTTGCATTTTACTTGTACAATGTCTATTTTGTATAAATTTTCCAATGCATTTGAAAGACTTTAGGAGTGTACACTATGTAGAAAAAACCAGAGTGGTGTTTAAAAACCAGACATCCTCCATCCCCTGGAAGGCATACATGCTAGGAAACAAAAGATTAGAATTTGGGGAAAACAGTAATTCAACTACTTTAATTAAAAAAAAAACCAACCCACACTAAAAATATTCACTGCAATGAAACATTTGTTCCATCACAAGAATCAAACACATTCAAAAGTTTTTAATAGAAGTTCATTGCTTTGGTGAATGTTCTAATCCCTGTATTATATCACAAACTAAAAAAAAACCACCCAGCTTTATTAAAAAAATGTATATTTATTTTTGAGGCATGATTACAATAAAGTCACGTCAACACCAAACAAATTCTTTGGAGAGAAGTCACAGGTCACGATATTTCCAACCATATTACTTTTGGTAGTCAGCTTCATTCCTGCTCATGTCTTCCTTATGAAATGTGAGGGAAAAAAATTAGGTTCTGCTAACCTACCATTTTAGTTCTTAGGTTTTAGGACTGACCTCTGTTTTTCCCAGAGATGCCTGCCCAAAAATGCTAGGCAATGCCTTTGATATATTTCAAATTCTAATCACTTAAGTTGAGTGAGTTTACTCACTACAGTTTAGATTACTTGCAGTTCTAGAAATATAATTTAAAAAGCAAATACTTTAATTTGTTAATATACTTACTAGCAATGGAGCTCCAGCTTGACTACCAAAATAATGTTAATATAGAATAGCATTACTGCTTGATTTTTTAAATGAGTTTGCATGTGCAAGTTTAACACAGAAAAATTTTTATTCTCAGTGTAAACAAATCAATCAGGTGTTACCCCATTCTTTGCCTAGAGATTACAGCTTTTTCCTTCTTCACAAGAGAATTATAACAAGTAATATGATCACATTGCAAAACATCTGATATAAATTATATGCATTACTCATACTCCCCAGTGATTAAGACAATTAAGATAAAGAACATTTTTTAACTGTAGGTCAATAGTTCCAATGTGGTTTATGTCAGTAGCAAGCAAAGAGATGCATGAGAGCTTCTCCTCAGCAGCCAAATTATTTCGCTGCACAACCACACTCCTACTGAAAACCTTTACAGATTACCAGCATATATTTTTTCATTATGAACCCTCAACGCCAGTCTCAGGCAAGCCAAAATCCAAGTCTTTGGAAAGAATAAACAGATCTTCTCCCTTGCTCTCAAGACTGGTGGTCCTTTTGAATGGAGAAAATACAGACAGGGAATGGTGTGCTAGTGCACATGCACTGCTCCTTACCCCATCGCCCATGGGCTGGTACAGGTTCATTTTGATATAAGTTCCAGATTAACAAAAAACAACAAATGCCATAGATTGTCATTAAACATTCCAAGCTCATGTTAGTGCCTCTAGAATAGTAAGTAAATACTATGTGAAGCAGGTTTCATGACTGTGACAGAATGCTTTGTTTCTCATTTTTCACTGTATCACAATCCAAGCAGTCATCAATTCCTGCAGAAAAAGTTCCTGCACCCAGCACAAAGTGGTACTATTCAGCAGTGCTTGTATCACATTTCTACAGTAATTTAAATATTTAAGTCTCCACAACCTAAGCGTTGATCAAAAACTGGTTGCAGTATAGCAATTAAGAAAATCTCTTTTCCTTAATCACTTACTTGTCTAGGTGAACAAGAAGCTGGAAATTAACTATAAATTCTACACAGCCTAGAAAATGAGCACAATCAAAATTACAATGAGTTGTTGACAAATACAACAAGCAAGAAAAAAATTTTCGTCTCACTTCATTACAGAAACTCTCCCCTTAAAAAAAATAGAAAATAAAATCAAGCCTCCCTACACCCAAACAAGATCTCCCAGCAGGAACACAGCACAATAAATACTGTCGTGGGTCGTATCAAAGGACCATTCAGCTCAGTATCCTGTCTCCAAAAGAAGCTGCAAGTAGATGCCTAAGGAAGGTTAAGAATAGGATAAGCATTTATCATACTTCCTCTGGGCACTCTCCCATCCCCCACCTACTCTCAGTTCTTGGGATTTCCTGCAGTTTGTCTATTTGATAACCCACAATGGATTTCTCTAAGTACTTATCTATTAAGCTCCAAACTTACACAAAGAATTTTAACAGTAAATAAAATACTGCCTCAAAGTGATGCCCCCATCAAGTTCTCACACAGGAAACAAAGTGCAAGTTCCCACTTTCTCCACGTAACTCATGCTATGTTTTTGTTTGGGTTTCTCTGCCTGTTTTGTGTTTGGGAATACAGTAAAATATGCTGTATACACTGGACAACACTAATAGAGCAGTCACCCTACAACTCTACAACCTACATTCAGTAGGTTGTAGGACAAAGTCACTTCAGTGAAGGTTTGTCAGTTGGCAGTAAAAAGCTTGGCAATTCCACAACAAGTAGTGATACATGATTTTTAAGACCTAGGGCAACAGAAGGAGAAAGTCAGTTGTCCTTGACACCGAGCCATGGAACTAAGAGTGTCAGTCACTGCTCTTCAAATGTCTTACATTTCCAGGCAATTATATCATGCATCAGCTGCCTATACTGACAGATTCACACTTTTCCACCAACCAATTTAATTAGAAAAGATTGAGAACTCCACATTATCTCTGACACCATTAAGCAAAAACTACAACAGCACACAGGCAAGCACCATTATTACACTGATTTTATTTTTAAAGAAAGAAATACCCTAGATACATACAGGCATGTAACAGGAAAGGTCAATGTTGGCAGAAAGGTCATTCCTGACGAAGGTCAGCCCCAAGACCCCTAAGAGCTATTCAAACATAAGAGTATTTTCTAATCTGTACAGCAGAAATAAGTAACTGATCTAACAGTGGACCAAGTTTCCTGTACCTACAATAAAAGATTTACAAAAAAATGAGTTTACTTGATAAATGCTGGTGGCATGTCCCTTTTCAAGATCTGGTCTTCTGTTGTCTGCACAGTCTCTTTTCCAACCTGCAGGAGAAAGAAGTCACACTTAAAATTCAGAATTTCACTGTAAAGCCTAAATTAAAATAAATAGCAAAATATCAACAAAAAAAACCCATTATTTGTACTAATGATAATTCCTTTCACTAGGTCTGCTGTTGCTGTGTCTGGTTTTGAGATCACTATATTCTGTGGTTAGACTAATGCTTTAGAAATCATCTGTTGTTTCCTGCCAATGTAGGCACCTAGTAGTAAAAACGTAATCACTGTGAACTCTGTAGGCTTCCCTCCCTCCCTCCTAACCCCCAAAGGTCAGAAATCAAGTTCAAATTAAAAAAAAAAGTTACCCCCATTCTGCTATTCAATGCAGTCTATTAGAAAAATGTAGTTAATTACTGAGAATACACCCCACATCCACATTCACACCATCCTTTAGGCAAAAATAATTATGCAGAAGCTAATAAAGAAAGAGATAGAGTAAGATCTGGAGTTTTCTATACACTAGCTCTTCTGTTATACAATAGAACTCTTTATAATTGGTAGCTGGCTCTCTGGACTGTGAGATCACCAACTTGACAAAATATTTCCAGCTCCTTTGTTCACTGTATTTTCCAGCTGAATAAGCTATTCAGAAAGGCACCACAAAGCAGAAGGTCTTTAACCCAGACACTAGTTTGTGTTAAGAGCTGCCAGGCCTGCTCAAGCTAGACAAGATAGCCCTGAAAATCCCCGAGTTAAAAGATTTGCTGTTTTTTGACAGAAGCTGCAGTGTGCCAGTATGCACAGCACTTGCCACTTCTAATGCTCCACAGCCTTCCAGAAGCACCTTTTTCCTTGCAAATTTATGCTGCTCTGCCAAAAATTGTCTCCCTCATCTGGTCCTTTTCAAAGGGGCTTTACAGAAGTACATTGGCCCTAGTAGTTATTTGGTTCAAACACAGAGTCAGCCTAGTCTACTGATTTTATTTTAAAAAAAATCTATTAGTAATAGAATCACAAGTAGTCACATAGATATTTGTAAGTAACTAAGGGAATGGCAGAGAGGAGGTTGAAGGTTTTCGATTTTACAGCAGGTTTCTGTCATTTGTCCTCATTGTAGGCTCACAAACAGCCATGCTCCCTCCTAGTGCAGGGCACTGGGGCTTTGCTTTGAGTCCCAAACTTCATGGCAATGGCTCAGGAGCACAATTATAAATGTATCTCATGCCCCGTTTCTTGGGAAAGGGTTACATGACCCGCCAGAGAATACACCTGCTTTCTTCAAATTATTTCCAGTGCCCTCACGAAATATATTCCTTCAATTTCTCACGTTTGTATGCACACATGGATGACAAAGATGACATGGAAAAGCAGTAATTTCCATAAACTTTGGACTCCACATCATTCAGACAGAAGGCTGTCACAAAGTACTACTCTTCACTGTCACTTAATCTGCAAAGAACCACTGGCAGGAAATCCTATTGCCTTCAAGATTTATTTCTCTTGCAGTTGTATCAATCTGCTTATAGTTCAGTTCATTAAAAAAAATAGTTCTGAGGACATACAGTTTTTAAAGAAAGCATGAAAAAATAAAGCTGGGGGGGGGGGGGGGGGGCAGCTTCAATTTGAAGGTTATTGTATCAATTATTGTTGTTATTTTATATTGAATAGCCAGTCAGGAGCAACCAAGAAACAATTTCAGCTCAAGTTACAACACATTTGATGCCTGATGTAAGTTACTTGTAGCTTTATTAGACCATGCTAAAATCGTTTCTTCATTCAGTCTGGAAAGCATAAGTCTCTTCTATAAGCAGATATTTCTAAGTTCACTACTCAGAGAAGCATTATCAACTAATTATAGATAGATGTATACATGCTATATATACACTTTATATAGTTATACATACACACATATATAAATGGACATTTTTGCTGTGCCTAGCTAACATCCCTAGTCTTCAAATGAAAGAATGAACTAGGATACGAGTCAAATCCCATTTTCATTTTTTGCAGGAAGTTTTAACCTCAAAACTTTCCTGAAACAGACACAGAATTTGCCCTGAACTCCAAAGGCAGATCATTTCTCTTCCAAGCCCATCACAAAGCAGAAATACTCATTCCTCCAATATCCTCAGCATTATAGAGCACACAGACAGGGCGCAGGATTTCAGGCAGTTCCCATGAGGCTTCAACTAAAAAGGTCCCCTACCTTTCTAGAAGAATGAACACTTTACCATATTTTAAGCACCAATACAGCACATACTCACTGAATCTGTTCAAACATAAAAGCTCGTGGCTCAGAGGAAAGCATTTCATATTTACATAGCTATTGATTAACCTCTCCAGAAGTTGCTCTTTGCATTTGTAGCCAAGTTACAGAGAGGGAATGTAAAGAACAAACGTCCTCCACATACCAACCAACAGGCAAAGCCTCAAAACATGAGACCACATCTATGACTAAAAATACACAACCCCAAAAGAGTGTTGTGGGTTTTCTTTTTGAGCTTTGTGGTTAGGGGGATTTTTTTGTTTCTTACTCTTTGTTTTAATAAGATCCGGTTTCTTAAGATTGAATTTTACATGGGTTAAGCAATTTTCAGACACAACGGCTGTGTAACACCAGGTAGAGATTCACTCAGCCTTACCTTCTCCATATTCCAGTGCCAAGAGAACGATGATATTTTTTTTCCTTAAGATGTAATATCTACACATCTGCTATTTCAGACAGAAAGTTTGTCAAGTATCATGCTAATTCAGAACAATTATCTGAGAAACCTGTATTTTATTTCCATCCAGCAGTATACATGTGGAAAAAAACAATTTCTACGTTGGTTTCAGATATTCTTACCTCCTAAGATGATTTTTCTCTAACTGGGAAGCAACAGTCTCTATAGAATAGAAGCTTCTGCTTTTAAGTAATACTGAAGTGGCCATTACTCACTGTTCCAAAGAAACTGTGCAGGTTAACTCAGTATAAAGACCATAACTTCTTGAAGGCTGTACCTGCCCAGAGTGGCACAGAGGAAGGGAAGCTCTCAGGCAAAACTTACCATGACGGTTTTACAGTCACGACCTTCTACCCATCCATATTCATTCCCATACTCTTTGGGAGACTGGAGGCAAATCAGTTGAATGAAAATAAATAATGAGCTACTTCCCTGCTCGCTCCCTCCTACTTAACAGTGAACAAGAGGCTGGTGAGTATAGAAATTCAAAGGAAATGGGGACACGCACAAGTCAGAGGGCATATATGGCCACTGAAAAGCCTTCTAGGAACACAGCTGGAACAACCAGGAGACAGATTTCCAGCTCCTTTTGGCTTTTAACCTTGCTTGTAGGTCTCGTGCACTCTTATCTGCCACTTGATTACTAAAAGATCAGTATGTTTTAAGATTCCTGCTGAGGAGTATTGTCTCCATGGAATACCAAGGGGAAATCTTTCTGATCAGGCTGAGTTTTTTTTCTTATAACCAGTTTTGCAGCTTTTTTATCCTCTCTGCCTCTACTGCAGGAAAGACAAGACATAAGCACCCCATGAGGTCCCTTTCCCATTTCTTAGCCTGCTGGATATAGCAAAGAACAGCTGTTCCCTGAGAAGGGGAAAGAGTTTCAGCTTCTGTAATTCTCCAAGAGTTTGTTTAAACAAAAGACACCACAAACACCCAGTAATATCTAGTTCTCTTAACTTCCAGAAGTTTGAAAATACAAATGCATATATCGTATAGAATAAAACACACAAATATTTAAGATGAGAGTCCGAAGTTTATTATTTGGGGTTGGGTTTTTTTTTCCTTTTTGAACAAATATTCGTCTTAATACATGTATTGACAACACTGATTTGACAATTTGCCAAATGTGGGAAGTGAAATTTTCCTTGCAACTTATATGATTTCCCCAGTTAAAAAGAAGACCTTATAAGAATTAGTTCTTGCACTGTTCCAGAAGCTAATTTAAAACATCTGTCATTTTAGCAAGGAGCCTAAGAATATTCCTGCATCATCATCCAGTGAATACATACAGCCCTGGCTGTAACACTAGCAGAGCCCCAGGTTTCTCCCAAGGAATAAGCTACAGGGTAAGTTTTGCTTGACAGGAAGAGGTCCTCCATGAGCTGCAGGTGGAAAACTGCTCCACCAGAACCTCCAGAGGCTGCAGGGGGACAGCCTGCCTCACCATGGTCTTCATGGGAATCCCTGCTCCGTTGCCTGGAACACCTCCTGCCCTTCCTTTTTCACTGGCCTTGGCATCTGCAGAGTTGTTGTTCTCACATGTTCTCACTCCCTTCTTTTGTGAACTACTCTGCAGGGTTTTTTTCCCCTCTCTTCTTAAATATGTTATCCCAGAGGGGCTACCACAGTTTGTCTCAGTGTGTTCAAAACCATCAAGAGCTCAATAACTACTTCACAGTTGTTCAGTTTTCCCTTTGTGAAACCAATCACTGGAACCAAATTACATGGAAAGCTTTTGGGAATGAACTCTGGCAGCAAAAAAGAAGCAAACAGGACTTAGCTGCTTACCTTCACTGTTGACAGTCACAGAAATACAGCTGTTGCAGTTAATAATGTTTTTTTCCTGCCCTGACTTTTAGCTACCATAACCCATGTGGTAAATGTTAGCAAAACACAATTGCATATATCCTGGCATATCAGCAAAGCATAGAACTTTGCCAGATGCAAGTCAAACAGTGTTGGGATACATCGTGATATTTCTTGGTCACATCTAAAATTCACAAGTCACTCAAAAATTATCATCAGATGACAAACAGCTCCCAGTAAAAGACAGAACTTTTCGCAAACTGAAGAGACAAGCAGCACTGAATTACTGATTACTCCTCACAATCTTATCCTTCTCATCCAATAAGAGTGGAAAGAACCAGTTATAATAAGGTACAATAATACAACCTTTTTTTTTGATGTTTTTCCTTCAAAGGTTCTCTTGGAAGCATTTAACAAAGCAAATTTCCAATTTTTTCATCATTCCACTTTCACCTTGCTTTGAATTACAATTGGGATTGATACATCACTTGCAATTAGTGAGTTTAACACTGT